GTGGGTAAATTAGGCCAAATTTAATCCTCTATTAAAGGCAGCATTTCCCATTAGGCAGAGTGGGGATCTGCCTACAGACCTGTTTTCTGCCCATATAATGTGCCTTTTTGGGGCTTAAGTGGGCTGGTGTGGATAGATAAGTACCAGGAGCCTTACCAAGCGTCCTATGTAGTCCAATTAGCCTCCTATGCTTAATAGCACAGCTGCAGGATCAGTTCTAGAAGATGTAAAACTCAGTGCTATCCCAGGTTCTCCAGTGTCTGTGTATGAGGCTGGACAGGAAGTGGAAGGTATCGCTTCCCATCTGACCACTAACAGCCTCTCACACAGGAAATGCATTGCAAGATTAGCAGGGACAGAATTGAGTTGTGCACACTGTATTACAGCTCCTGCAGGTCTACTATTAATCATATGAGGATGACTATAAGAAAATGACTAATTTGCAAATAAACCTTTAAACACTACATGCACCTAAATGCTCCCTTTTTTCATAATAATGAGTATAACCCCTTCCAACCCCACCAAAAGTCACCTAACCAGCCGGAAGTGCCTCTAGTCTGACAGCCACTAGAGGCAGTTTTAATCTTCAAGGTAATTATTGCAGTTGCTATGGGACTGCAATAATTACCATTGCAGGGGTAAGGGGAGAAGGACACTGCACCCAGGGTTCCCTTTAACTCCTCCTGTAGCCCAATCTAACTTTAACCCTCAGGGTAATTATTGCAGTTGCTATGGGACTGCAATAATTACCATTGCAGGGGTAAGGGGAGAAGGACACTGCACCCAGGGTGCCTATAGTATCCCTTTAACTCCTCCTGTAGCCCAATCTAACTTTAACCCAACTATAACCCTAAACTCAATAATTCAATAATTCTAAATACCTCCTGTACCCAAATACTATATAAAACCCTACTTTAACAATAAACTTAATTATCCTAAGTACCCCTTATACCAGTGGTAGGAAACCTTCAGCACTCAAGATGTTGTGAACTTCCATAATGCTTTTACAACCATAAGGCTGGCAAAGCTTTAGGGGAGATGTAGTCCTAACATCTGGAGCGCCGAAGGTTGCCTACCCATGCCTTATACTATAAATATAACCCATCTGAAACTTTTAATGCGCTTAACACTAAACACTGTATGTAATCTAACTCTGGTGTAAACCCATCTCTAAACTTAAACCCCCTTCACCATAATAATCTTTAAGGTTATCTTTAGCCCTGCATGCATTTACACAGTTGCATACACTCACTATACTCACAGATTCAAACACAAGGCATTAAAAGCAGAAATATGAATATACATATACATATACAGTTGTCAATTATGAATATATGTATTTTTAGACATTCTATGCCTGCAAAGCCCAGTTAATAAATTAATCAAACTCCCTTCATATCAATAACTGCTGTTATTTTCTCTCTGGTGTTAAAAGAATGACATTTCAATTAACATCATAGTTATGAGAGAAATTTAAATGTATCATTGTGATAAAGGAAGTGGTATGCAGAGAATATATATGTATGCTTCTTTATCTAACCATACCAACTGCAAAATCAGGTCCTAATAAGTTTGCCAGATTCACCATGCTTTCTTGGACGCACATCACTTCATAATATAGGCAATAATTGGAGTGCCACCATTGCATATATGATTAATATCCTGCAAGAAGGGAAATCAGTTAATTAGAGGGATCCCAAAGGGACATATTGATTTCCATCCAACAGCATATGATTTATAGATGCTGCAGAGCAACAGTTTTAATATACTACCCAACAGCATGACAACGTTCTATGGGTCCAGGAAAACATGATGGATCTTGCAATTCTAGCTCTTGAGATCATGGACATAATGGAAATATGAGGAAAGTAGATGCATGTAGTTGTTAGATGATTCTTCACTGCGTCTTCACTCAAGAATACTTCTTGAGCTGGAAAACTTGTTTTTAGCACCAGTATTATATCACTGAGGGTATTATATCAAAAAAATAGTTATATGTTCTGTCTCAACTTAGAGAGCTCCATAGATGATGTGGCTGAGTATCTAATTTACTAATACTTTATATGCATGTTTCTAAATAATAGTCAAGCATGCCATCTCCTCCAGTCCAGTTACAATACTTACTGCCACACACACCGTATAGGATCACATTATAGATAGAAAGGTTTTATTACATTATGAAGTATATGCCTTCTATCTCTCTTTGTTCCTTCAGTTCTGATATCTTTTTTCACATACAGGTCCGTGAGGAGGAATGAAAGGCTAAAGGATGAAGATCAAAACAAGGCTTCCAAAACTATTGTGTGATTTCTGCGAGTATGTGCACTTTGAGTGTACTATAATGTGCAAAATAAATAAACATGTACCCCAGCCTTGCTCTCCCTTATCGTTACTCACAGCATTTGGTGGATAATGACTACATCTCATAGTTCCATCTCATAGTTTTCAATAATTATCTGATGTGTTAACTTCCACTTTGATGCTTGCGGAGGCATTTAGTTCTTAAAATTAGGAAGAGCACTTACAAAGATACATTTAAAAAACTAAATATTACAAAAATTATTTTGCCTCCATAAACAAATAATAAAGGCTATAGCCACAATTGATGTGCAACGAGTGGGATATTTAATTGTTGGTGGTAAAACACTCAGTAACTGTTTTATACTAATCTATTTTTTGTGGAGCATTCAGTGTTTGTTTTTATAAGAAACATATAATTCAGAATCACAGAAATATTGTACAGTAGAATACAATATAAAATATAACAGTGTAAGCAAATATGTTGATGCAAATTGATGTTACGCATACACTGCACCCCTCATTACAGTCTGTGTGTGTGTATATTTAGCAGTCACTGCCCCCCAAACACACACTGCCACCCTCACACACTGCACCTCAAACACACACTGCACCTCAGACAGACACACACTGCCACCCTCACACACACACAGCACCTTTCACACACACTGCACACTTCACACACACACACTGCCCCTTCACACACACATTGCAACCTTCACATACACACTCCAATACTCACCCACACACTGCACCCCTCACCCACAGACTGCACTACTTACACACACTACTGCACCCCTCACACACACACACACTACACCCGTCACACACAAAGCACCCTTCATATACACACTGCAATACTCACCCACACACTGCACCTTTCACACATATACAACAACCCTCACACACCTCCTCTCACACACTGCACCCCTCACAAACACACATCACAATTCGCACACACACTGCACCCTTCACACACACACAGCACCACTCACACACACACAAAGCACCCTTTACACATACCGCACCCTAAACACACACACACATCACCTCTAACACATGCACTGCACCTCTCACATACACACTGCCCCCTCACACACACTGACCCTCAAACACACACACTGTCCCTCAAACACACACACATTGCCCCCTCACACACACTAAACCTCAGACACACACACTGCCACCCTCACACACACACACACAGTACCCTTCACACACACACTGCACTCTTCACACACACAGCACCGCTCACACACACACTGCACCCCTCAAGAACACACTACACCCTTCACACACAAAGCACCCTTCACATACAGACTCCAATACTCACCCACACACTGCACCCCTCACCCACACACTGCAGCCTTCACACACACTGCACCCTTCACACACACAGCACTGCTCACACACACACACACACTACACCCTTCACACACACAGCACCCTTTACATACACACTGCAATACTCACTCACACATTGCACCCCTGATCCACACACACTGCACCCTTCATCCACACACACTGAACCTTTCACACATATACAACAACCCTCACAAACACACACAACACCTCTCACACAAACAGCATCTTTCACACACACACTGCACCGCTCACAAACACACATCACAATTCACACACACTGCACCCTTCACACACACACTGCTGCACCCCTCACACACACACACACACACTACATCCTTCACATACACACTGCAATACTCACCCATGCACTGCACCTTTCACACATTTACAACAACCCTCACACACACAAACACATCTCACACACAACGCCCTTCACACACACTGCACCCCTCATAAACAGACATCACGATTCACACACACAATGCACCCTTCACACACACACTGCACCTTTCACACATACACTGCAGCCTTCACACACACACAGCACCGCTCACACACACAGCACCCTTCACACACAAAGCAGCCTTTACTCATACAGCACCCTTAACACACACATCACCTCTAACACACACACTGCACCCCTCACACACTGTATCCCTCACAAACACACACACACTGCCATACGGCCACCCTCACACACACTGCACCCTACACACACACACACACACACACACACAGCACCGCTCACACACACACTACATCCTTCACGCACAAAACATCTTACACACACACACTGTACCCCTCACACACCTCACCCTTCACACACAAAGCACCCTTCACATACACACTGCAATACTCACCCACATACTGCACCTTTCACACACACACACCTCTCACACACACAGCATCCTTCACACACACACTGCACCCCTCACAAACACACATCACAATTCACACATACAATGCATCCTTCACACACACTGCACCCTTCACCCACACACTGCACCCTTTACACACACACACAGCTCCTCTCACACACTGTACCTCTCACACACTACACACAAACAGCACTCTTCACCCACACACTGCACTGCTCACCCACATATAGCAATGCTCACACACAGCACCCTTCACACACACACTACACCCTTCGCACAAACCGCACTGCTCACCCACATATAGCAATGCACCCTTCACACACAAACTACACACTTTACACACAAACACATACACAGCACCTCACAGACACATAGAAAAATAGAAAATAGAAAAAAATGAAAAAATAGATACATTTAAGTACATTTTAAAAAAAAACTCTCTAAAAAAACTTGCACTTGCGCTATAAAATGAGTTACTGCGGCACTGATGGATGGCAAGGAAATTTTACTATGAACAAAGATGCAAACGTGGGTTGTAGGTATTAAAATGTTGACTACCCCTGGCCTAGTATCTATTATCTATTCCCTAGTATCTAGGACAGACAGAGTCTCAATAATGGGATCCAGACTTAAGACAATTGAAAGTAATTTTGTGCAAATGTCCAAACGTGGCTCTTTATGCCACATCCACCCACACTAGTATACTAGGATAAATAAATATGTGTATATCAAGTGGGGATTTTGAAAGAGGTCTGTATTTGTACTCCTATGCTTTCCCCAACATTTTGATACAGGGACAATCCAGTGACATGTTACATTTTTCTGACCACTTTCTCTCCCTTCACATAATGCATCCTTTTCTCATCAACAATTAAATTATCTATTTATTTTCAGTATCTTCTTATTTTCAAGCGATCAGGTTGACATATCTTGTAATGGCACACCTGTGGATATTTAAAATATATTAAACAGTCCATAGAAGACCTTTTGTTTAGGGGACAATTACACTTCAAGATATGCATCAGTGAAAATAAAATACAATTTAAATAAAGGGAATTATTTATTCACAGGGTTTAAAGAAATACTCTAGGCATCATAACCTGGAGTGTCCTGGTGATTTCCCTTCGTAAGTAGCCAAACCATTTTAAGATGGTTTAACTTCTTACTTGGGGTCTGCTGGGAGCTGCATCCTTGCCCCCACCATCACGGGCCAGACACTCCTAAAGAGGAGCTTCCGTTAGCCCTCCTGAGCAAAGACCTGCAGTGCAGGACTAGGTCATTGGCTGAGCGTGGCAGCTGATTGCTCTCATAAAAATGAGCTAAGCCCTGCACTGCTGTGCTTTGCTTAGACACAGAACTTCTGTCTCTCTGTCTGAATTAGTGGATGCGGAGAATGGTGCTAATATATTATCATTAAAGACTGAGTCGCAACTGTGCCAGGACACACACTGCATGGAAAAACATAAACTTTACTTTACTTCTACTCCTATCACTATGCTGTCTATTTGCTTACAGATAGACTTGTGCACGGTCGAAAAATTTGATTTGCTCAAATCAGTTCTTTGTAATTTGTTAAGATAAAATATTTTATTTTTGTTTGTTTGGGGGTGCACTGTGTGTGGGGTGGGGTGCACTGTGTGTGGGGTGAGGTGCACCTTGTGTGGAGGGGTGTACTGTATTGGAGGTGTACTGTATGTGTGTGGTGGTGCGCTGTGAGTGTGGGGTGGTGCTCTGTGTGTTTTTTTTTTTTATGATGTGTTTAGGGGATTGGGAATGGGGTTTTAATATTTTTACCGAAAAAAAATGATTCCCCCTCCTGTTCTTACCTTTCAGGGAGAGGCATTCAGATATATGACGGTCCAGCAAGCTGCCTATCCTCCAGTTGCAGGGAGAGGAACCATGAGGTTTATGTATTTGCTGCACCTCTATCTTCCAGCACTTACTTACTGTCAGAACATTTACAATGGCAATGCTCAGACACTGTAAGTACTGGGACTAAGAGAGATCGGTGTGCAGGGCTGGCATAGACATCCCAGCTCCCCTGGCATTACAGCCACCCTCTCACCAGATGTAAAAGTATGCTGGCCCAGTAAGGGAGATAAGGGAAAATTTATCCATACTTACAGTAATTTTCCTGGTCATATGCCATGGCAGCACAATGGTGGGTAGCTCCTCCCTATCCCTGATTAGACAGGAACTAATTAAAAAAAATGTATAAGTACCTCCTCCTATCCCCTCCTCCCTCAGTCTTATTACTAGCAATATCCCAGGGCGGGACCTTTGTGCTGCCATGGCATATGACCAGGAAAAGAAAAGTACGGTAAGTATGGATACATTTTCCCTTTTCCTGGCCATATCCATGGCAGCACAATGATGAGTAATACCCAAGCAATAACCAAGGGAGGGATAAATAAATAAAGAAACCACAGACTCCAAAAAATCATATACAAAGTGTATTGGTACCACAAACCAAGTGACAAACGCCAAAACTTCAGGAATCAAGGGTTTCATACAGAAAGGACACTTTTAGCAAATTGGTCCAAATGACCGGCTCTGATATCCACTTGGTAATGTCTGATGAAAGTATTGGCAGAGGACCAAGTGGCAGCTCTACAAATCAGTTCACGAGAGACCTTGGCAGAGAAGGTCCATGAGGAGGAAAGGGATCTCGTGGAATGAGCTTTGAGTCCATGCAGGACTGGAGCTTTCGAGGCCTGATAAGCTTGGATGATGGCTGAAACAAACCATCTGCTAATGGTAGATTTAGGAGCCTGACTGCCCTTTCTACATCCGTTATAAAGGATAAAGAGGCCTGGAAATGAAGGCCAAGGGGAGGTTCTGTCAATGTAGATTCTGAGGCATCTCACCAAATCCAAGGAGGAAAGATCCCTGTCATCACCATCTACTTGTGGAACCGGATGCAAAGCTGGGAGAACAATTTCCTTGTTAATATGAAAGGCGCAGGTGACCTTAGGCTGAAATTCTGGGATAGTACGAAGGACCACCCTGTCCTTATGGAAGACTGTGAAAGGCTCCTTGACAGACAGAGCATGAAGTTCCGAGACCCTTCTGCCTGAGGCCAAAACCACCAGTAAGGCAGTTTTAATGGAGAGGAAATGGAAAGGCACTGAATCCAAAGGTTTAAAGGGGTGAGACTTTAGAGCTTGGAGAACCAGAGGCAAGTCCCAAGGTGGACTGAATGGCTTAATCGGAGATCTGATTTTTAGTACAGCTTTAAGAAACCTGGCCACGTCCGAATCAAAGGGCCATTTGTGGTTAGTTAAAGCCGACAAGGCAGATATGTGAACCTTCAAGGTGTTGTAGCTCAGACCCTTCTTGAGGCCATACTGAAGAAAGTCTAAGATTTTCCCTGTGGAAGGACACTGGATCGAGACATCCCTCGAGGAAGCCCAGGAAGAGAAAAAGTCCCAGATTCGATAGTATGCGTTAAAAGTGGAACGCTTCCTAGCCCTGAGCAGGGTGTCTACCACCGCATGAGAGAAGCCCTTATTCAACAGCCTTTCCCTTTCAACCTCCATGCCATCAGGTTGAGGGAGGACGGGTCTTGGTGGAGAACAGGACCTTGACGCAGAAGGTCTGGGACTCTCTGAAGACTCCAAGGCGGCTCTACACAAAGGCTCTGTAGGAGAGGAAACCAGGGTCTGCGCGGCCAAAACGGGGATATGAGTATGAGGGAGACGCAAACCATCCTCATTCTACAAAGGGAAAAGGGGAAAATGCATACACTGCTCAAAATCGCCAGTTGCTGGAAAGGGCGTCCCTCCCCATGGCTAGAGGATCGTTGTCCTTCGTGAAGAAACATTCCACCTTCCTGTTCTTTCATGTCGCAAACAAGTCCACTTGAGGAAGGCCCCATCTGTCCACTATCATTTGGAACACGTCGTCCGACAAACACCACTCTCCCGGATCGATTCTGGATCTGCTGAGGAAATCCGCGATCTGATTCTGTTTCCCCGGGAGATGAATTGCTGTGAGTCCTGCCAGGTGTCGTTGAGACCATGACATCAACAGATGCATAAACACCTGCGCTTCTGGTGCCACCCTGATGGTTGATGTAGGCTACCACCGCAGCATTGTCTGACCGAATCTTCTCCCAACGGTGACGAATCAGCTGAGAAAAATGTTTCAGGGCTTCGAGAACAGCAAAGAGTTCCAGTAGATTGGAAGGCAAGTTGTCCGCATGGAACTTCCATTCCTCCTGCGCAAAGTTGCGTTGACAATGGGCTCTCCAACCCCAATGGCTGGCATCCGTCGTTATTACTATCCACGGAACGTCTCCCAGAAGGAAGCCCTTGGCTAAGGAGGCACTGTTTAGCCACCAAACCAGGGAATTGTGAACTGACAACGGAATCTTGATGGGCTGGAGTAGACTTTTTGAGGAGAATTGGAGGAGGAAGTTTGCCTGAAAGCTCCTCATTCTCCATTGTGCCCACCTTGTCAGTCCTATCGTGGAGGACATGGAACCCAGGAGACTCATCGCCTTCTTCACTAAAGTCACCTTGCATGCCAACATCTCCACAACCTGTTTCTGTATTCTCAGGATCCTTTCTGGGGAGAGTTGAACAGTCCCCGCGGAAGTGTCGAACAGAGCACCCAGGTATGTCATGGACTGACTCGGGCAGAGATGGCTCTTTTTGACATTTATCCTCCAACCGTGATGTTGTAGGAACTGAAGGCAAACAGTTGCATGGGCGGACAAAGTATCCTCGTTGTCCGCCACAATCAGGATGTCGTCCAGGTAATGGAAGATGGATATGCCCTGTTTTCTCAGTTCTGCGATGAGAACAACAAGCACTTTCGTGAAGGTCCTTGGAGCAGTGCTGAGATCAAAGGGCAAGGCCCTGAATTGGAAATGAGCCTCCCCTACTGCGAACCTCAGGTATTTCTGATGTGCCAGGGCTATAGGGATGTTGAAATAGGCATTCAACAAGTCTACTGATAACATCCACTGATTGAAGAGACTCCATCTTGAATCTGCGTATATGCAAGTATCGATTCAGTCTGTGTAAATGTAGGATGGGTCTCCACCCTCCCGAGGACTATTCAGTCAGAAATAGGTGTGAATAGAAGCCGTGAGTCCTTTCTGACTCCGGGACTGGTACAATGACTCTTTTTTGTAGAGAAGGAAGACCTGGAGAGCAAGCCTTTTTACTTTGTCTCCCGGACACTTTGCAATTTGGAAGGAACTGGAAGGAGGGTGTTTGCAAAATTCTAGAAGATATCCTTTTCTGATGATATCCAGAACCCAGTTGTCTCTTACGGATTCCTCCCATGCCACACGGAATTGGAGCAAGCGAGCTCCAACACCGCCTGACAGGGAGATAAGCCCATCACAGATTCCTGGGGTTCTTGGAGGGTGCAGAACCTCGGGACTTGCCGCCTGTAGCACTATGTTGACCGCTCCTCCAGGATTGATTTCTCCCATATTCCTTACCCGGTCTGTAGGATCTGCTATCACAAAACAGGTAATAGTCCCTTTTTGCACGAAAGGAACCTTTGGGCCTGTTGTCTTGAGGCAGAAAGGCCTTTTTACCTTCGGCTGCTCGTTTAATACAATCATCCAGATTCTTGCCAGATATCATGTCGCCATAAAAAGGAAGGGAGCACAAGCTGCCTTTGGAGGAGGCATCAGCGGACCATGGTCTGAGCCATAGCGCTCTCCTGGCCAAAACTGAAAGAGCCATAAGAACCTCACCAGATCCACCGCAGCCTCAGATGAGAAGTCAACAGCCAATTTCAAATCTTTTAGGCTATCCAGTATGTACACAGTAAAGGAGGAGACCATATTTAAAAGAAGAAAAACTACCACAGCAAGAGGACATAGTCTTAAATTAGAGGGGCAAAGGTTTAAACATAATATCAGGAAGTATTACTTTACTGAGAGGGTAGTGGATGCATGGAATAGCCTTCCAGCTGAAGTGGTAGAGCTTAACACAGTAAAGGAGTTTAAGCATGCATGGGATAGGCATAAGGCTATTCAAACTACAAGATAAGGCCAGGGACTAATGAAAGTAATTAGAAAATTGGGCAGACTAGATGGGCCGAATGGTTCTTATCTGCTGTCACATTCTATGTTTCTATGTATGAAGGGATGGCTCCTGCTGTTCTTAATATCCTCCTCCAAATTCTCCATCCAAACCTTAAGCGCCCTGGACTGACACAAGGGCCACTGCTGGGTGCAGGCCAGTACCTGAAGCCACATTTGCTTTGGAAAGACTGAAGTCCATCTTTCTGTCCATAGGGTCTTTGAAGGAACCCGCATCATCAACAGGCAAAGTGGTGCGTTTGGCCAATCTAACCACGGCCGCATGCACCTTGGGAGCGGAATGCTTCAGCATCAGCATCCTCAAAAGGATACAGTCTGGAAAATCTTCCTTTTGCAGAGGATTTTCTGTCCAATCTGGACCATTCCTCCTTGATGAGGTCTTTATAGTCTCATGGACTGGAAAAGTTGCCCTCTTCCTCCTGAGGTCAGAGAAGTAGCGACTGGATGTGGAAGTCTCATCCTTAGAAGATTCCTTCAAACTGAGAGTCTTGCGGACCCTGGACATAAAACGGTAAATTTCAGCAGGTTCCAGGAAATCTGGAGCTGGAAGCACCTCGTCCTCAGAAGAAGAACCCAGATCTCTCAGAGATTCCATAGTCATACACTCCACATCAGAGACGTCTGGAGAACACTCCGAAGGTTCCAAACACCTTGGTCACTTGCGGGACTTCTCAGCTTCCTGAATGCCCAGAGTGACTGCTTGTAAAATATACTGCATTATGTCAGGCGCAGGTTGGATGGAGGACTGCCTTTGAGATGGGCCTGCAGTCACAGATAGGCAAGAAAAACAGAGACGTTTCCCCTACAGGGCTCTGTTATCACAGGATTCACATTGTGTCCTTTTGGGCGACTTCACTTTGGATGACACTAAGCTCTAGTCCCCTTAGAACTGCTGAAATAGGGACAGAACAGTGTATCAGTTATCCGCACTCTTTTAGATTCCAGATAAAACAAACCAGAAAAAACATGGCTTACCTATAAGACTTAGGTTGTGACCTTTTGTGAGGTGGGAAAGAATCAGAATCAGAGGAATTTGAGACTTCCATATCCATCTGCAGAACCAAATTCAAGAAAGAATCTCAAATTGAAATTCAGAACAAAATTGAAGGATACCACTTTAAAAAATAAAAATACATTTACCTTAACGAAAAGCGGACAAAACGAAAATCAAGCAGGAGATGGGAGGAAGCAATGCAGCATTCGCCAGAGTGTGTGAACCAGGGGGCTGTTAAATAGGCGTGTGATGTCACACACAGAGCACCTGTGTAAATCAGACGAACGAACAGGCAAACGAACAGACGAACGGACCATTCGTGTGAACAAATAAACGTTTGCCAGAATTCATGCGAACAGCTAAAATTTCAGGCGAACGGCTAAAAGCACAAACAGACACAAAATCAATCAGCAAACCATACGAACACATGTGCATTCGAAAAAACGAACGCCAAGTTGAAAATGAAAGAAACCACAGGCACTTACCCCTTCAGAAGGACGGAATAGGCAGAGGGAAGTCGGAAACAGGGAGAAGTCCAGACCAGCAAGGTAGACGTCCAAGTCCATATTCACCTGCCCACTGCTACACCTAGGGTCACTGCAGCATTAGGGAACTAGGCATAACAGCTTGCTACCTCTTGGGTTACAGCAAGTGCCAGATCCCCGGTCACTAAAGGGGTACTCTTCAGGGGGTCACCTTTGCGCAGGGCCGTGTAACTGGAGACTTCCCAAGGGAGAGAGGCTGAACTCCCAAGGGGCCAGGGGAACAAATCCCCAGATAAGCCATAAAAAAAAAAAAAAAAATAGTTCCAAGGAAAAAACATATGTCCTATAGGGATAAGACAGGAACAAAAAGATGGAGGGAGGAGGGGATAGGAGGAGGTACTTATACATTTATTTTAATTAGTTCCTGTCTAATTAAGGATAGGGAGAAGCTACCAATCACTGTGTTGCCATGGATATGGCCAGAAAATTTTGATCTTCTCCACTGATCCATTAATGGACAGAGAGCTATATCTGGGCCTGTGCTGCCCTGCAGAGGAATAAATGATTGGTCTGTGGTGGGTATTTACTAAATAATACAGCTGAAAGATCAAAAGTAATTAAAAGCCCTTTTCTTAATTTTGATCTTTCAGCTGCTAAGTAGATAGCTTCCTAACTTGGGATCCTTTTATGGGAATGCTATATTTAGGGGTGCCAAAATATGGAGCTTCTACTGAACACAGTCCCCTCCCTAATTTAATACCCTGAAATATGGCAATCCTACAATTAGGAATGTAAAGTATCTATTTTCTAAACCAGCGTTTACCCAATTGGTGTGAACACTAATTGGGGTTCCGACAAAAAATTGAAAATAAAATGGCCACGGGTGGTGAGGGAACAGTGAGCAGTGATCTCCCTGCTCAGCTCCCTCACGTGCACAGCAGTGATGCCGGAGCCGGAATATGACATCACTCCGACTCCGGCATCACTAAGAGGCGCGTGAGGGAGCTGAGCAGAGAGGTAACTGCTCCCTCGCTGCCCACCTCCACCGCTCACCTGTCTGCCAGACCTCCCGACAGCCCACCAAGCTGCAGCCAGCCCCACTGGACAACAGGGACTTCATGCCAGCAGCCACACTGGACCCCAGGGACTCCATCCCAGCACTCCTAAAGGTAGGGGGGCTGGGTGGAGTAAAATGTAAAAAAAACAAAAAAAATTTATGTATGTCTATTAGGGAGTTTGTATGTGTTTGTGTGTTTGTCTGTAAAAGAGTGGGTGTGTTTGTCAGTGAGAGTGTATATGTGTGTCAAAGAGTGTGTGTTTGTCATTGAGAGTGTATGTGTGTCTGTCAAAGAGTGTGTATGTGTCACTGTGTGTATCTAAGTGTGTGTGTGTGTGTATGTATGTGCCAGTATGTATCAGTGTGTTTGTATGTACCTGTGTGTCAGTGTGTATCTGTGGGTGCAAATGTGTGTATGTCACTGTGTGAATCTGAGTGTGTGTGTGTGTATTTGTGAGTCAAGATGTGTGTCAGTGTGTATCTGAGTGTGTGTATCTGTGTGTAAACGTGTGTTTCAGTGTGTATCTGTGGGCCAGTGTGTGTATACATATACACACAGACGCAGAGATATACACACTGGTGCATACAAACACAGATATACACACCTTGACATACACCGGCACATACAAGCACAGATACCCACACCTTGACACACAGATACATAAATACATACACACACAGATACACACTGTGTGTTAAGGTGTGTGTATCTGTGTGCCACTATCTGCCAGTGTGTGTATCTGTGTGTCAGATTTATACACACTGGCACATACAAACACAGATACACACACCTTGATACATAGATACATGCACCTTGACACATAGATACATACATACACACACACACAGATACACACTGTGTGTCAAGGTATGTATTTGTGTCAGTGTGTGTATCTGTGTGCCACTATCTGTCAGTGTGTGTATATCCGTGTGTCAGATTCATACACACTGGCACATACAAACACAAATACACACACCTTGACACACAGATACACACACACACACACTGTGTTTCGATCTGTGTGTGTGTGTGTGTGTGTGTGTGTGTGTCAGATATATAAGTGGCACATACAAGCACAGATATACACACCTTGACATAAAAAAAAAAAAATAATGGCGCAATTGTAATTTTTTTTTCCGGGGAGGGAGGTTCCACAATGTTGATACACTATGTCAAAGGGTTCCACGGGAAAAAGTAATTGGGAACCCGTGTTCTAAACCAAAGGAAGTGCGAATGGAAATTCCATACTGAAAATATCAGAGATATTTAATCCGAAACAAATCAACTAATGAACGAATTTGTTTTGGATGAGACATTTATTTGGACAAACCAAAAATGTCCACCCTGCACAAGTCTAAAAGCAAGCGTAGTATAAGAAATCATGAGCAGATTCCTATTTAGAAGAGTATTTTTAGTTCTTTGAAACATCCCTGTAAATGAAAATTGTAAAACAAAACATACCTGTAAATCGCGTGCCTGCTGATCTACTACAAAAAAAAAATATACATATATATTAATATAACAATATTAGGAAAGGTGACCAGTAATTTATAAGTGGAAATTGTAATAGTGCAATTACATACATTAAACCAGCGGTTCCCAAACTGTGTGTTGCGGCACCCTGGGGCGCTTCAACGTGCACACAGGGGTGCCACAAAATATTACCCCGGTGCTATGATCACTCTCACTCTCCCCTGCCAGCTCTGTAGGACCAGAGATCTCCCCAACTGGCCAATTTGCACTGAAATGCTGCACCTGGCAGGGGAGGGAGAGGAGAGCTGCAGGTTAGAGCTCCTCTGGGGTCTCCTCTCGCGACACACACTAAACCCCTCACACACACTGCCCCACATACACACACACTGCCCCTCATACACACATACTAACCCACATATACACACACTACCCCCCATATAAACACACTGCCACCCATACACATACATTGCCCCTCCATACACACACACTGCACCCGATACACATACATTGCCCCTCCATACACACACACACACACACACTGCCCACCATACACAAACGGCCCACCATACACAAACATTGCCCGTCCATACACACACACTGTACCCCTCACACACAATACCTCCAATACACACACTGGACCCCTCACACACACACACTACATCCTTCATAAACAAAATGCAAGCCTGTACACACACTGCACCCCTGACACATGAACACACACATTGCACCCCTCACACACACACATAACCCACACACACTGCACCCCTCACACACACACACCACTGCCCAAATCCCCTACTACAGCCCCTATCCTGGCAGACCCCAGGTAAGTTGTCACACTGTTCTTAAACAGTTTGAGTGCTTACCCTCGGAGGGCACTACGGCTCTCCTGGCACCATAACCACTACATAGTGCTGCAGTGGTTATCTGGCCTGGATTGTTTCTTTAACCCCTTAAGGACCAACCTTCTGGAATAAAAGGGAATCATGACATGTCATGTGTCCTTAAGGGGTTAAATAATTTACCACTGCCCTTTCAAGATCAGGTTCTGAATCCCAGTATATGCCGCAGCGCTGTACATATATACAATCTGGAAATTTGTTTTGACTTAGGGCACCTTGGAAAGATATTGAAATATTAAGGGTGCCTTAAACCTAAAAAGTTTGGGAACCACTGCATTGAACATTAAAGAAGCCTACCTAGACTCAAAACATAATGTCCATCAAATACAATTTTGTGCATCAATGTTTTTTAATACATCAAGCAGCATTTTATGTAATATTTTAACATATTTTTTGCATTGTAATATACAAATTGTACCTTTTTTTCCAAACAACCAGAGCACCAGCAAATGCAATTGGTATCAACAACAGGCACAGCAGCCACAGTTGGTGGTTGACGGATGTTCCTAAATAGAAGTGAAATATAAAGCTCAATTTACTAGAGCTGAATTTATTTTTAACAGTGCAATAAATGTATGCCAAAATTGGAATTTGTTAACTGCCATAATTTTGCTGTGATGCCAAATAGTACAGGGATCCATCCACATAGTGAGACCAGACATAGTAGATGTACACAGCAAAAAGCATTAAGGTTTTTTTTTTTATATCAATATTATTTTTTTTTTACATCATTTTTTAAATTTGAAAAGCTTATTCAAAATATTAAGTCAAGACCACAATCAGGAACACCAACCCCACTGTAAGTGATTCCATTTCTAAATTAAATGAATTCTTAAATGCTGCTAGGGAGTGCTTCCATATATTGTCCCAATGATATGTATGCTGCAAAATAATAGTACACTTGGGAACCTTACTAGGGAGAATTGGGATATGTACTGAGAATGAGAATATACTGGGAATGTATATGTAGAGTAGGAGGTAAAATGTACTTTTGTAAAGTTAGAGTTTCATAATCTATAAGAGAAAATAGTATTTTTTGGTGGTGATGTGCACCTCTGTAAAGAGGGCATGTAATCCTAACACGCATGCTTGCCAGGGTGACATTCTACCTGCCAGGAAGGCTCATCAGATTTGCTCATCAACTGAGCACAAATGAATCATCATCAATCATCTTAAATGCCATGCATTTCATCCCAAGTAAAGTGCCGGTGTGTTTAAATATGTAGTCATGCTCTACTACTGACACCGTGTGACAGAGCGGTTCTGAGTGGATGACTATGTGCAACTTGTGTGTCACAACCAAACTGTGTGCCGTGATGAGTCTGGTCCAATATCCACATGACACCTTCTTTTTAGTATTATTTTGTTTTAAGCAAGTAAATATAATACTCTTCCATAATGCCCCTTGTACAATGCAGCACAATAAAGATTGTTGAGCATAATCATATAGCAGAACTATACATGAACAAGTTTTCTTACCATCCTGGAAGTTGACATTCATGATAATAATATGCATGCTGTGTGAAGACTTAAATCTACAGATGTGCTCTCCAATTTCCTCTGTAATATTGCTTCGTAGGTCACACTCAAAACATGGCTCACCGCTGGCATTTATGCAAAGTTTAAAATGTTCTTTAACATTTGAAAAGAATGGTGTAGCCATCACTGGCTCCAGAATATTGTTTTCTGTCAACCATGCGATGTATAGATTTGGGTTTATTGTTTCACATAAATTGCTACCAGCTTTGTTTGATTTTGTGCAGTTAATCTCTAAAAAAAAAAAAAAATTAAAAACGTATTTCCCATTATTTCTTGTAACATAATACATGCATTCAGATATATAAATACATGTCAAGATGAACTTAATGCATATGATAAAATATGGAAAGAGTTAAAGCAAACAGCAATTTTAATATGAAATAGCTCATCAATGGTAAGCAATGCAAGACAATTTAAGAAGCTGAGGATGGATGATCAGCAATGACAACATGTTGCTGCTACTGATGATGCCACAGAGATATGAGCATGATAAAAGGCTAAACCACCTGCAAGACAGCGTCTACCAGCTAGCAAATCCTCACACTCGGTTAAATGCCTTCTACATTTTAGAATGGTTTTGCTTCATACCCAAGTTCCACTGGGTGCCATTTCCCACCTCGACTACTTCCTATGGAGTGCCAGAAGGTCTCTTTGAAAGCTAAACCCAGTGATACAGTGCTTGGCTCATTGGATGAGAAATTGCAGCTGATGCTCACAGCCAATGCAAACATTGCAGGTCTTAGAACATGATAGCTAATGGACTCTCCTGTTAAGAGCGTCTCTCCATAGAATGTAGTGGACTTGGGGAGGGGTTTCTATATTCTATAGTGGTTTGGTTGCTTACAATGGAGAACACTCATATGGCTTTATAACCACTACAGTGTGGGGTAGTGGTTCTGGTTCATGGGGTGTTCATTTAATTACATTTTATATATATATTTTAAAAAAAAACTATACGTATACATACAATGTCCCAAGCATAATAGTTGCTAATTACAAGTCCTTTTTAGTGGAAGTCTTTTTCTAACATTTCCATGATCGTATTAAAGTAGAAAAAAACTACCTCTGCAGCTATTCACAATTGTTCTCAGTCACCTTCTGTTGACTCAGGAACACAGAAGTTGTAACTCAACAACAGATGAAGCATTATCTAATGCCTTGCTCTGGCTTGGAGCATACCATCCTCTGCATTATATGGTGTCAAACACCACAAACCAAGAATAATTAAAGAGAAAGCTGTTTGTACACCAAGTCTGACCTATCCAAAAGAGATGATGTAATACAGGGTTTAAATTATGACTGACTGGTATTTCCTCTATATGAATTATGAATATGAGGAAAATATGAATTACAGTCCTACCAGAAGCACCAGAATCACTTAATTTATACAAAAATCCACAAATACTAAATTGCCTCCATAATCTCCATGGTAATAATAGCAAAAACTGATGTGAGAAAGGCTGAACTTGATGGATACAAGTCTTTTATCAGCCTATGTAACTATGTAACCTGAAGTAACAAGAACCATCTTACTATCAGAGATTGTTAAAGCCAATGGGGACATGATGAGAACCCATTGCCTCCAAAATAACAAGAACCATCTTAGCCTCTGGATGTCCACATAGAAAAAGGTACATTGTATATGTGTAGATTTTGAAATAAAATAAAGTAAAAAATAAATATCCCATATCCCGAATCAAGACATACCCTTCACTTTTCTTGCTTGGCTTTTAACCACATCTCTAGAAAACCACTCAGGGCATCTATCTCCATCCCCTTTGTCCCCATTTCCACTTGCAGCGTAGTGCTATCCATCTCTTGCCATAAAAATGGTTCAAAACTTTCCTCTTATAAACTCCACAAATATGAGGGAAAACATCAGCTATTCCACTTATCTGAAGTATCTGAAAATATCTGCATCCATCTACTTTTAATTAAATAACTGCTGTACTCCTTGTTACAATATAATTGTGAAGAATAATTGTCATAAAAGTACAAATTGGATTATGTATTTTTTTCCTGGTAAATGTGATGAAAGTCAGCCAATGTTACACGTTATGTGTGATATGTATATAGTCTAATTTTTTCATTTGCCTGTTCTCTTACCTTAAAATAACTTTTCATGGTAAACACTTTTGTAACTGTGACTTTGACTAATAAAGATGAGTTGAGAAACTACACATATACTTAGCTTTACACTTACCCTTTTTTTGCCAGGTACCCTTCCAGGAAACATTAAGCTTTGAGTGGTGTATGAGGCACCAATAAGTATCACTTGCATTTGTAACCCCTATAATGCACTCAGAGGCTTTGGTTTCATTGACAACAATATCTCCATTGTGCCACTTTATACTGATTGCATTGTCTGGATACCAATGTTCCAAATAACAGTTTAGTTGGACTTCTTTATTTTTTGACTCATAGTTAATCGATTGGTTTTCAAACGCTAAAAACAATAATAAATAAAAAAAGTATATATATATATATAAATTATATGTATTAATGTATTCACAGCTTTTTATCTTTAGTATCATACGTTATATCATGTGAAGAAAAAACAACAGCACAGAAACTGGATAAATCACTTTCTAGAGTCACGTAATGTTATCCATAAAACCATGCATATACAAAATATATAAAGGGACGTGGACTACATGAATAATTGGTGGCAAAGTGAGCAAGGGCTTTGGTGCTATAATAAGGTGAACTTTATTTAAGGGTCCTACCCACATACATTCCCTTAGATTTAACAAACACACCCCTGCATTCATGCACACTGACCGTCCAGATACTTATGTCCCTAAATTCTCTCTATGCACACATATGCCCCTGTATTTATGCACATTGATTCTCTCCACACATCACCAGACTCTACATCCATCATCCACCTCTGCATCCAAGCACAGAGATCCTTTTTTAACACAAACCTTTACATTCAAACACACTGACTCTATGCACAATGATTATCCACAACATTAAAACCACCTTCCTAATATTGTGTAGATCCCCATCACGCTGCTAAAACAGCTCTGATGCATCGAAGTATGGACTCCACAACATCACGGAATGGGTATTTGGCACCAAGACATTAGTAGCAGATCCTTTAAATCCTGCAAGTTGTGAGGTGGGGCCTCCATGAATGGCTTATAAGTTTCAGCACATCCCACAGATGCACAACCTGATTGAGATCTGGGGGAATTGGAGGTCAAGGCAACACCCTGAACTCTTTGTTATGTTACTCAAAACATTCCTGAACAATTTTTGCAGAGTGTCAGGGTGTATTATGCTGCTGAAAGAGTCCATCAAATGGTGCACATGGTCATGGTAATGCATCCTGCTGCCATCTCTTCCCCAGGTAAACAATGCACATGCATCCAAATGCCCACCTGATCTAAAAAATACCTGGCAACCTTCTTCCATTGCTCAAGGGTCCAGTTCTGATGATCACATCCCGATTAATGTAGCTTATAGCATGGAATAGGGGTCATCAAGGTCACTATGCATCAAACTATGATGCACTGTGTGTTTTTACTCCTTTCTTCATGAACTAATGCATTAAGTTTTTCAGCAATTTCAACTATAGTAGCTCTTCTGTGTGATCGGACCAGGCGGCTAGCCTTAACTCCTCATGTACAGCCATGAGCCTTGGGGGCGCCCATGATCTGGACCATAGTTCACCGGTGGTCCTTCCTTGCACCCCTTTTGTTAAGTACTAACATACCGTGAACACTTCACAAGACTTGCAATTTTGGAGATTCTCTGACAATGTCGTCTAAACATCAATATTTGACACATGTCAAAGCCACGCAAATCTTTTCATTTGCCCATTTTACTACTTCCAACACATGAAATTGAAGAACTGACTGTTCATTTGCTGCCTAATATACCCCACCTGCTCTGGCATTCACACAAACACATGCCGACACTGCATACAAGTAGGCCCCTGCATACACTTAAACACAGTAGCAAACATAATTGAATAAAAAAAATAGTTGAAATGCTGATCACATGCATTTTAGGCAGCAAGTAACTTTTCATGTCTGGCTGTGACTCTTGAAGATGTGAAATTTTGAGCCCTGTTACTATTATAAATAGCATCACCCACATAATGGAGAAATCCCTTGGCTGAGCAGTTTGACAAACCTGGGGCTCTCTACAGCACACAAAGTTACACCCATCTACAGCTGCTCAGATAATGAATGAGGCTCTTCATCAAAGTCATACATCTGACAGCAATGATCGGCTGAGCAGTGGGCCTATCTCCAGCTTTCCCAGCCTATTATTGTGTACCAAGGTTGAATGAGATGTTTACTTGGGCATATACTAAGGACACAAGGGATCTTATGGGGAGTAAGTGAGATGTGCTTCCTTTTGTATTTCTATTTCAATTATGACTTACATTAATAACTGTACATTTAGGTTTTCTGAAATACATAATATACATTCCTTACTTGCAAATTTTAAATCAACATAAACTTTGTTTTTTGTCTCTGTGGATGTATAACAATAATATGATTTGTTATCTCCTATGTGCAGATTTGAAATCTTAAGGGAAGCATTTCCATTTTTCAGTTCACTTAAAACCAGCGAAGTCCTATTTTTGTATTGTGGGTCTTGATTTTCTAATTGTTCGGCATTGTCGAAGTAGCTGAGCACGGTCTTTTCATCAGTTGTCATCCAATGTAATGTAATTTTATTGTATGGCTTAAAAAAACATGGCAGGATGGCATCTCTGGAAATCTCACCCCAAACTATTTCCGGTTCTGGGAAAATATCAAAAGCATAATTTAAATTATATAGACAAGTAGTTCTTTTTTTTTGTGAATCAAATTGTTATTGGTGCAGTCAATGACAATACAGTAGAATTTTCCATCCAAATGTCAAGTATTCAAGAATGAGTTGTTTACATGAGCATACTGTATTCCATTACATCATACACTCACTTTTGCAACAATTTGATGACAGAAACAGAAAGATAAATAAAAATATACAAACTTTATAAAATAATGAATAGTTAGTGGTACCTGGCAAAGTAAGATTAAAATCATGATGATTATATATTGTTATACTAGGAACCAGCCAAGTTAGTGTAGTAGAAGGTAAGGCTTTGAATAATATTGTGGTCTTAGGGGAAAATGGAAGAAAAATATGTTTACATAGGGCACTGTATTTCTCAACTAGTCATTAACATCCAATGGATCTATATTGTTGCATAGACCTGTGACCTACCGGTTGCAGCAAACATCAGCATCTCCATTGAGCGTAATTCCTCCATACGCAAGTAGTTCTTAACCAATGGATTTGGAGTTATAAACTCTCCTAGATTTATAGAAACATAGAATGTGACGGCAGATAAGAACCATTCGACCCATCTACCCTGCCCAATTTTCTAAATACTTTCATTAGTCCCTAGCCTTATCTTATAGTTAGGATAGCCTTATGCCTTTCCCACGCATGCTTGAACTCCTTTACTGTGTTAACCTCTACTACTTCAGCTGGAAGGCTATTCCATGCATCCACTACCCACTCAGTAAAGTAAACCTTTGCCACTCTAATTTAAGACTATGTCCTCATATTTTGGTAGTTTTTCTTCTTTTAAATATAGTCTCCTCCTTTACTGTGTTGATTCCCTTTATGTATTTAAATGTTTCTATCAATGTTTCCTCCAAGCTATACATGTTAAGATTCTTTGACCTTTCCTTGTAAGTTTCATCCTGCAATCCATGAACCAGTTTATACTTTTTATCTATATATATTTTTAAAAATATATCACATATATATATACTTTTTATGTATTTATATATTGGTGATAGTTTTATTAGGGCATATGCATCTCATTAAATATACTTGTTTATATTTAGGAGTATCATTACCTTTTATATGCTGTTCTGAGTCATTATTTAAGAGTTATTATTTGTTTTGATGTTGCCTTTAAACCACCATCCCTGAGATGTTTAATTGATTGATTGCTTAATTAATTCCCAGGCCATATTATCAAGTACCTAAAAGGTGTGGTATGCTTAATGGGTTGTCTACTAGGATTGTATATACTCTCTATCATTACCAATATTAACACCATATGAAGATGTATTTTGTCAGTTTACCCATATATGACCTGCATCCCCTGGTTCCTTTTCAAGGTGCTGTGTTACTGTTAGATCTACTTAGTCTCTTGACAGCTTGAACATGCCACTGCTGGTTCTTCTTCGATAGGTTTGTTTTACCCTTCCCTGAAACCCTACCAAATTTCACTTAAATTAAATGCCAAATCAGTTCAACATCATATGTTGAAGTCTGATGTTACATTTTTGTGAAGGGGTACTTTGCCTTTGGACTCAGACACGACAGTGTCTTGGGCCAGCCATGTGTTTACTGTATATTATCTTAAAGAGTTACTCCAACCACCATACACACGTCTTCCTTTAGAAGTGGTCATGGTGGTAGAGGTCTGTATGTGCAACATTTTTGCTTGAAATACTTCACATCCAGAGATATATTCACTTTTGTGCCAGGGGCTAGTTACAACCCCGGCACACATGACTTGGGTAGCCTGGAACATTAAATATGTGCAGAAGTTTGTTGTCAGCGAGCACTGTTCTGCTTGCTGTAAACAGAAGTTGTCAGTTTCTACCATTGCAGGCAGACCAATGGAGCTGAGGAGCAATCAAATGATTTTCTATGAAAAGGGTGCTTACCCTGGTGCTAAATTCCATGTAAGCTTATCCTATCCACTACTTTGAAAGGTTTATAGGGAGGGGGGCTTATTTACTAATGACCAAAAGGGAATTGTGATTTAAATACATCTATTTATATTTAAAAAGTGTTAGAGTAACAATTTAAGTGTATAGTTTTAACCTAAGTGGATAATAAATGAGAGCAGCATTGTGACTAAGAGATTCATGTTAGAACGTTTTGAAAAGTTGTATTTTTATCCTATTAATACGGTTATCTTTTTACCCCTGTATAAAAGATGATCTTGAGTAGCTCAAGCTCTATAGCATAACAAATGTGTTCCTCGTAAAATTAAATTGTGTTAAACATATTGTTATAGGTAAAGAAAGTACGCAATTAAAATATAATTATTTTGTAACTTATTTAAAATATACACATCACGTAAAAAAAACCTTACCAAAAACTGCAAAATTCCAAATTGATATAAAAATAATAAAAATAGCACCCATTGTTTTCATAATTTTCCTGAGTGACCTAAAGCAAAAAAAAATTGGATTACATTAAACAGAGTATACATTTTTTTAGATTTACAGATCTTTATACATGATATGCAAGTAAATACACATACTTTTTTTAAAAAGTCCATACGAATGCTTTTATCGCTCAATCAAGTTGCCACCACAACCCATGGCTCAGCGGGATGACCAAAAACAGGAAAAAAAGACTCAGGAGAAACTGCTCAACTTTAATACATTTAAAAAAAAAAACAAAAAAAACAGGCCCAGGTATTAAAAGAAAAACTAAATGAAAATAATTTGACATCAGACTCTGTTGAAGAAGCAATCAAGCATGCTGAAAATCAAGATAGAGATAGTCTGTTCGTTTATAAAGACAAAAGAAAAAATAGCAACTCCACGTTACTTAAAATTCTAGATTTTAATAATAAAAATAAGACTCTAAAGAAAATATTAATCAAACATTGTCATGCACTACAACAGGAATATGTGCTAATAAACATTATTCCGACAAGACCACAAATTATTGTGGCTAAAAATCAGCAATAAGGGGAGTTGTAACTCCTTTTAAGGGGGGTAAGGTGGAGGGCAAGCCACCTAAATGGTGGGTTGAGCACTATAGGGTCAGGAATACATGTTTGTGTTCCTGACCCTATAGCAAACATAGAAGCATAGAATGTGTTGGCAGATAAGAACCATTCGGCCCATCTAGTCTGCCCAATTTTTAAAAAATACTTTCATTAGTCCCTAGCCTTATCTTATAGTTAGGATAGCCTTATGCATATCCCATGCATGCTTAAACTCCTTTACTGTGTTAACCTCTACTACTTGAGCTGGAAGCCTATTCCATGCATTCACTACCCTCTCAGTAAAGTAATACTTCCAAAAATTATTTTTACATTTGCCCCTCTAATTTAAGCCTATGTCCTCTTGCTGTGGTAGTTTTTCTTTTTTTAAATATAGTCTCCTCCTTTACTGTGTTGATTCCCTTTATATATTTTTTGTTGTAATGTTTTTTGTAATGTTTCTATCATATCCCCCCTGTCTTGTCTTTCCTCCAAGCTATACATGTTAAGATCCTTTAACCTTTCCTTGTAAGTTTTATCCTGCAATCCATGAACCAGTTTAGTAGCCCTTCTCTGAACCCTCTCTAAGGTATCAATATCTTTCTGAAGATACGGTTTCCAGTACTGCATACAATACTCCAAGTGAGGTCTTACCAGTGTTCTGTACAATGGCATGAGCCCTTCACTCTTTCTACTGCTAATACCTTTCCCTATACAATCAAGCATTCTGCTAGCATTTCCTTCTGCTCTATTACATTGGCTGCCTACCTTTATAGTGTTCTTTTAAATATGATTTTAATGTAAATAGATATAATCTACGGTTCTCATTGGTCTAGATATTAAAATCTATTGAAAAGTCCTGTCTCATAAAGGATTTGATAATAGTGCAAAGAAAATTATTGAAAACATGGTATTTATAAATATAGATCCTCTTGCTTTTATCTTCTAAGTTACGTAATTTTGAAAATTTTTATTCATAGTTTTGTATCGCTGGGGGCCAGCTCACTTGCTTTCTGCCACTAAGGCAGCCTGGCACACATGAGCGACTACATGCTGCAGTGCCTGCGCAACGACTGCCAACTTGCCCACATTCTAACTTGTGCTGATTACTGGGTGGCCACCCTGCTGGATCCCCGTTACAAGGACATCCTTAATCCCCGTCCTTAATTCCCTCCCTGGAGCGTGATCGGAAGATGCGCGACTACAAGCACACACTGGTAGACGCGCTGCTGAGTGTGACGAAAAAACCTCGCCACTGGGCATTGGAAAAGCCTCCTGGGTTTGCCCGCCTCCTGCCTGCGGCCCCTGGGAGATTTGGCCCTTTAGATACAGTATTTGGGCATATTGTATTTTATTATGCTGCTGCTGGCCCTTTAAGAACCATCTGGGGACATACTGTGGAGTTACTGGGTGGCCACCATTTCATGTATCAGAGGCACATGGTGAGAACAATGGATGGCGGCCATTTTAACTCACAGACACTGTTTGGACTTTTCTACACGGTGCCATCTCGCCGGTATTTGGTGCACAAAGACATTGTGCAGTAGTTTTAAACTATACAACGGGGACACATTATACAGTAATTATTTTTCATATAGCTTGCATATGTTCTGCGGAATCTGCATTAAACTGTATCTTCCAAAACTACTGAACGGATCCGAGGATATATATATTTATGGGGTTATTGCATGTTTTGGGGTCCCTGTGATATGTTTTATAATACTGTATTTCTCTGCCTGTGATAATTATATTAACCATTGTGTTCAGTAATTCTATCACAGGCAGAGGGGAGGATTTTTGTGCGGTAGTGTCTGTGTGTATTTTACGGATTGATTGGTTGTATTTCAAAACCCAGTGGGCAGTACTATGTTTGTGGATTGTGAATAAAAGAGGCTGTATGTGCCAGTACAGTCAGTTCTGCTTGACCTCAAAACAAAGTGTCGTCTCGTTATTGGGGGAATTGGATTGTATGCTGATTGCCAGGAGTGTAAGCTGATTGTATGCTTTTCCTGTTCAGCTGTTTATAGCATTCATATGCTTGAGAGCATTCGTATGCTTCTCTGGTTCGGTGGTTGTGGTGTCTGCTGCAGTGCTTGGAGTCCTCAGGAAGCGCTAGGAGCATCCATCAACGGAGGTACCCAGTTGGGGTGCCCGTCGATCCGTTACACTGAGGGCATTCCCAACTGACATCGGGGGCTCAGTGGAAGCACAAGGCGAAGGCAGAGGAGGAGGAAGAGGTCGCCAACGCAGCTGGGGCACCGCCAGCACCTCAGAAGGCAGGGTTAGCATGGCCGAAATGTGGAAAAGCTTTGTCAGCACGCCAGAACAACCACCACCACCATCTGATATGGAACGTCTTAGCAGAAGGCAGCATTTCAGCAACATGGTGGAACAGTACATGTGCACATGCGTACATGTACTGACTGATGGGTTTGCCCCATTCAACTTCTGGGTCTGCAAATTGGGCACATGACCTGAGCTTGCCCTTTATGTCTTGGAGGTGCTGGGCTGCCCTGCAGCCAGTGTATTGTCTGAACGTGTGTTTAGCATGGCAGGGGACAGACAAGCGCAGCAGCCTGTCCACAGCCAACGTGGACAAGCTCACGTTTATTAAAATGAACCGGCCTCATCCAGCCATTGTTATACTAAAGTGCACTTATTCTTTGTTTTCTTTTTTCATATGTCCCAATATTTTGGGGGCTACCCCAATTAAAAAAAAAACAAAAAACAAACAAACAAATAAAAAACAGTGTTGGCTACCTCCTCCACAGCCGCTTCCACCTACATTGCCACAGTCACCGCCTCCTCAACCTCCTACTCCACATCCACCTCCTCCTCCTAGTTCAAGATTATTATTTGAATTTTTTATGTATTTCATATTATTTTAAGTTATTTCCCCTTCCACATTTGTTTGCAGGGCACTTGTCCTACTCTTACCCCCACTTTACTTCATTTTGCAGTCCTCTAGCCCTTTCCAGGACTTTTTTAGAGCCATTTTAGTGCCCAAAAGTTCGGGTCCCCATTGACTTCAATGGAGTTCGGGATCGGGTCAAGTTCGAGTCCGAACTCGAACTTTTTGCAGAAGTTCGGCCGAACCCGACTAAACCGAACATCCAGGTGTCCGCTCATCTCTATTCACAATCCCTTATCTAGACGAAAGAGAGAGATTTTACCTCATTACGTCGCACATTGTTGTAGCTATTTATATTTGATAAGGGTGTATAGATTAGTACTGTCTGGATATTTTCTCTGCTTACATACAGAATATATTCCCACCCCAGACATTGACCATATTTATGTTATTAAAGTCTAGAGTCTGGTGAATAGGGAAACTGCCAAGCAGAGCATTAGGAGGATTAGGATTAGGATTTGTCTTCAGATATGTTTTCTTTTTTCTGTTTTTGACCATCACATTTGTTATGGAGTGGGTTTGATAGGCATTTATTTACTTATTCACTTATTAAATATTATTTCTCATTAATAAGATATCCAGTTGACACTCTCCTGCGGATCAAATACTCCAACCCCCCTTCCCCGGGCCCGCCTACCTCCCATCAGCACCGCAAATTATCGGCAACACTAAGGCTAAAACTCCTTACCTATAGTCCACTTCATTTACCCGGCACGGCAATACACAACATACTCACCTCTTGGAGGTGGAGGTCCCCTTAAGAAAGACATAGGTTGACTGACTCACCCCCTCACACAAACAGGAGCCAACCCCGAGTCCACTAATGACCCCTAGCTAGGCACTACCTTATAATGTATAATTTTACTGTATCTAACCATGCTTCAATTACTTACCAGACAGTAGCTCAAATACTACTTGTCACACTACTAGCACACCCGCTAACTTAGCTATGCGTATTTACTCTGTATAACACACCTCCTATTTACATGCCTACACTGACGATGGTACTACCTGTAGACCCTAAATGCAATACTCTTGCCACTTCCTACATTTTTCTTTTCCCAATTACAAAAATATTGTGCAGATCTCCCAAAGCCATTCTATTTTATGAAAACTGCAATAATTACAGTTGAAGGTTTAAGGGTAGTGGGAGTTGGCACCCAGGCCACTCCAATGGGCAAAAGTTGTCTGGGTGCCTGGAGTGTCCCTTTAAGGATAAACACTTGAAAATGCATGTATAAGAAAAATAAAGTAATATATAGTGCAGATGGTCTTATATACTAATAGGTGATGAAAGTGGAATAACTAGAGACCACTCACATGGTCTGGAGCCTATATGGTATTGGCTCCGTAAAATAAGCCTTAATGCTCTTTGGGCAGCAACACACCCCTTTCCTCGATGGTATTCCTCCAAAGAAACAGGAGAGAAGGGAAGTAGACCAGATGAGTAGTACTGTGCAAAAATGCGGTGTATATATATGTATATATATATATATATATATAAAGTATTGTGCTCACCTTATTAAGAGCCTTAAGTTCTGTGCCAATTTCTGGGATGGCAATTCCCACAAAGAATCCTTAATGCACATTTGCTGGAATTGCTGATGTGACCTGGAGACACCTGTGGTTGGGTAGCCCCTGGTTGGATAATTGGCTTTCCCACCCATACTTGTGTAATTTAACAATTAATCATTGGTGGCTCAGAGGTATAAAAAACAGTTTGTGGTTGGCGGAAATGATGTCACGTGAAACTCTGTTCGTCAGATCCGCCATCCACCACCGGAAAAGAGAATCCCGCCAAATTATATACATTGGTGGTCAGAGGTGTCGGTCATGCACCCTCCACCCTCCCTCCTCTGACAGGTGGAAATGACGCAGCATTCCGAATATGCCAGTCATACATGCCAGTCCTCGGTATTGCCGACTCCCAATTGTACTAGGGGGAGGTTCTGGCACTGGACGGGGGGTGGCCGTGATGACATCACACGTTAGTGTGCATCAGCCTAAACCCCTCTGGTGGCACCAGACTGTAAACACCCCATCTTGGAAAAGGGAAAAAGGAGAAAAAAGATGAGGGAAGGAGGGGGGAGAAGGGAAAAAGAGTATATCTAGGAGTGTTACCAAATGGCATATTTAACAAGGCTAAGATACTCCAAATACAGTAATAACCATAAAAACCCATGGTGGCAAGGGGAAAGAGAGGGGGAAGAGAGAGAAAAATAAATATATGATGAGAAAACACAATGTGTTATCTCATATCCAGCATGTAGACACATACAAAATACATTTGGATATACGTTAATATAATATATCCTATTTAGGGGTATACATCTGCACTATATATTTCTTTTTCAAGTGTGTATCCTTAAGTGTGTGTTTATACACAAAATTGATGGGATGGTGTAACTCTCCTACTCCAGAGAGTGTAACAGGCTGCTCTAACAAGAGAAAGTGATTATAACCCAGGGGAGTATCAAGATATAGCAATCCCTAGAGCAGATACATCTGTTTCCCCCACACATGAGATGAGAGTCTATGTTGAGGATATGCAGGAACTCGTTTAATGGTAGCCACAACTGGCCTTATATGCAGGTCCATGCAAGGGACACTCCCCCCTGGACCTGAGAGTAGAAACAATTACACAATCACATTGGCTCTCAGATCCAGGTCACTCCCATACATAATAGGTTAATCCCTCCTCTGTACCTGGGAGATAATTGTCAAGCACTGTATTAACTCAATTATCTCCAGATACAAAAACACACATTTTTATGACAGATTAAACATACCCTTAAAATACACAAAAAGTTACAACCCCTGATAGCCCCGATCTGGGTGACCAACATATCCAAAAATCACCCAGATCAGTTCAGGGGTTCAGGAATTTCCTGGAAGTCTTAAGTTTGACCAACCGTACGCATGGTCCCATGCTCAAAACAGTTCCAGAGAATCAGGGCTTGCGGTCAGTCTAGTTCGGTAGTCTAGAGTAGTTTATAACTGAACAAAATACCGAACAGAGTCAAAGTTCTGAACCCTGGAGCTTGATTCCCTTGTTCGTGGGAACGTTTCCATCGAACCGAACGCAGGTGGTGATGGAAGTCCAGCAGTGTTCGGGAGTTTCAGTGTCCGAAAATAGTTTCATGAACTCGACAATCAAACAACGCTGCCTGCATTTGTGCGAACAAGATGACCACCACCTTGTGGTCATTGATAGAAAATGCGACCACCCAGACGAACACTTAGAACACCGCGGTTGAAACTGCTACAAAGTGTCAAGCTCCAGGGTGGTCTCCGGTTCGTGCAGCTGTTCGGTTCCCGAACCATATTGTTCAAATACATGAACCAAGGTCTGATGGGCCATAGTCCTGGGGCAGGAGGCGGCAAGCAGGCTCCTCCAAAAGCCTGTGGCGAGGTTACTTTCGCCACAGGCTTAAACTGTAAAATAACACTGACATTTAAATAACGTAAGTCATTGTATTCATGCTGCACATGTTTCTTGTTTTAATATAAGTAAAGAGCGACATATCCAGTTGACAAATTAGGAAAGCATTCCATTAAACAACTGGACATCTACTGTTAGAAAGAGACTTTACTTCTGACCTGCAAACTATGATGAACACTGCTACAGAGCTAATTTAATACAGAAGATGAACAGACTTCAAAATAAATAAATAAATGACTAACACTAACATACATATCAATTCCTAATATATTAATGGAAAAGAAAACAGACAATGAAAGGTTATTTACCAGTTATGAGGGTATTGATACCAAGAGAGAGTACTTATAAAATGTTTAACACATGGGGTAAAATTACCAAAGGATAGTATTATGAAGTGAACTATGACATTGTACATGATGACCTATACATATGATGAAAAGTATAAGAGGTAGATAAAACAGGATTCATGTGTACTTAATGATATGAGTGTGTTCAATAGTATTTTTCATAGATTCACAAGAACAAGTAACTTGATGATAGTGAGGTGAAGTAAAACAAAGTATGGTAGAAAAATTAAGAAAACTAAGGAAGGATAAGTTATGATGATTCATTTTAAGTAATGGTATACATTATGAATACCTAGGGTATAAGAATTATGCTGGATAGTGCAGAAATCCAAGATGAATTTAATTAAGATGATAGTATACAATTAGGGATTATTCTAGCCTCGGTGAGGGAATAATCTAAATTTTATTAAAGACAGGAGGCGAATATTTGCTTTACCTTCTTTACTGAAACCTCCAGCAGCAAAGAAACAGTTAACAGAACTTTTCAAAACAACCAATCAGAACAAAGCAACAGTAGTATAAAACCCCTAAGCAGGCTCTTCCACTTCCTCTTTCTTTGATGAGGTCGAGCAGGAGAGCAAGGAAACCAACGAATCCACCTTGTAGCAGACACGTCCAGAGAAACAATCGTCAAGCCCAGAGAGAAAAACAGATTACACTGCAAGAAAACAGAAAACATTGTGAAAGTAGACTGTCAAGGCAAGATGTCATATCCATACAATATCACTTTCACATCATAATACCTGATGAATAAACAAAGTCTACAGATCTTATGAAGACCTAGTATGTACCTAAGCTAAAAGGCATTGACGAAACATAATTAAAACAAAAACATGATGAATAAAACGAACAGAGACAACCATCACTGAATATTAGAAATAACCTTTATTATGTAAAACCATGCATTCACAAAACATAACAATATCCCCAATTATTTATAATAGAATAAAACTCAGATCCAGGGAGGGAACGTAAAAAAAGGGGGGGAAATATTCGCCTCCTGTCTTTAATAAAATTTAGATTATTCCCTCACCGAGGCTAGAATAATCCCTAATTTTATGGCAGGACAGGAGGCTTCATATTTGCAATTTTAACACCCAAATAGTAGAACCAGAAGCAATATGAGATAGAGGACTGAAATAAAGGAGAATGGAAAAACTGATTCCCTAAACCAAGCAGCGGTGTAGAGAAAATGCAGAAGGGACCCAACGGCTTCCAAAATTGTTGAGGTGACAGCACCCCGAACCAAAAGTGTCCCAGAGGAACTCAAGGTCAGTCAATGAGAGGATCCACCAAATCCAACGAGCGAGCGAAGATGCAGAAACAGTCCAAAACGGCTGTATGCAGAAATAAACAGCTGTCCATGAGTAGATGGACAAAAGAACCAGATCCTGGATCTACATGGTCGTGTACAATCTGTCAACAGAGCCGTGGCCTATCCGGAGAATAGGGGTGCGACACAGAGGACGAATAAAAATGAAATATGTGTGGAGCAGAAGCCGATGTACTGAACGGCAAGAAGGAAGAAGACGCGTCGATACCATGACGTCAGAACGCGATGAAATACAAGATGTACTGGGGGGAAACCGTAAGCGGAAAAAACTGGTGCACCTTGTCATCAGGTCATTCCTCAAAGAAATGCAGAACACACGATACCACTAGACTTGAGGAATAGCGAGAGATAGGGCTCCCATACGGTATACTCCTCTTGGTAGACTGCAGACCAAGAGATCCTTAGCAATGCCAGAATCTTGAGAAAACGCACATGAGTCGTCCACTAGCTGACATAGGACATGAATGGCCCCATACGATCCTATCCTGAGAGGGCAACTCAGCCAAACAATGGGGACAGCCATGATAAGGACCGCCATTGGGACCCAAACACCAGTCATGGCAGGCTACCCCTGTGGATCCCATGTGGGACATTAAGAGACAGGGAGTCGTAGATTGCCTTCCCATGGCAAACTCCAGCAAAAAGGGGAAAGCACGCAGGACTCCTCCGAAGTGGTTTAGCCAGGCGAAACGACACTTCCAGGAATTCGGTCTGAAGCAAAACCCAAAGTATCCTGTAGGTAAACGGGATGCGTCCGCCCCGAAGGAGACCAAGCTTGGAAAACTCGTCCCTCGCCTCGCTGAGGGTCCGGCAGCCAGTTGGAGAACCGCTCCGTATGGCGGTTCGCACCGAATGTAATCATGCCAGTACTCGAGATCCTGGAGGGTGAGGCAACCAATCATTGGGGTCTCTCCATGGTCGGGTGAAGCCGTCCGCCACACGAGTGTCTCGTCCCGCATACATTCTGTCACAAATGACGAATACTTGTCCAGAAGCTATGGATAGCTGCAGTCCGTAGTGGGCAACCGGTGAGAAGTCCATGCCGGAAGGTAGCGAGCAATACTGTGAATGTTGAACAAACCTGCAGGTAGATCCATGCAGTTGGCGTAAAGGAGTCCCTCCTCCGGAGTCATCAATTAAGTTTTAGATGAGCTTCATCCGAAGGTCACATGATTTGGTCATACGAGGCCGAAGACCCAAGAAAGCGCCATGTTGGAGCGGCTGATAGTACCGGATCCTGGAGGTATGGCTTCCATGGCGAATAGGCACCGGTCAATTAACCGGGTTGGGCCCCTAAGTGTAACCCGCGGGTTGCAGAGCATATACCTGGTATTTTCCTTGAAGACGTACATCTTGGTCCTCGGGAGGCGGAGCACCGCCTGGACCGAATATTCCATGAAAGACCGGAAACTGGGTTGACTGGGAGTGAGTCAGATTCAATATGTCCATGTTGATGGCAAAATCCATGCGGGTTTCTCTCATGTGCATTTGAGGGAGAGAACCAATCGTCAACGCCGAGCAGCTCTCAGAGGGGATGAGTGCCCTCCGTCTCAAAATGTGTCAACAGACGACATATGCACTGGGAGCATGTAGCGTGGGGATGGGACGGGAGTCCACTCCACCGCACACTTTGCCCAGCAGGGCAACTGCGGAATGAGTCGGAATGCATGCCTCTTTTGGTCATGCGTATTGCTCATGGAACGGTCCAAGGTTCCGAAACCTTGATCTGGAGTCCGGGCACGGTCCGAGAGACCTCTGGGCTTAGTTAAGGGGGAACCCTATGAATAGAGACGTGTCAGCTCAATTTGTACATGAGGGTAACTCCGGAGAGCAGACCCAGCACTTGGATGCTAAATCCATCAGTTTGATGTCCAGCTTGGACAGGGGCCGTTTTGCGGTTCTCAGGGGGTAGAAACCAACTAGGCGATACCTATAAGTCATATCGGTCCATTCCCAGTGGGAATTTAGTCTTCTCCGCTTTCCAAGCGGTAACGCGCCGTTCGTCCCGAGGAAACATCTGTGTCCGTATGTCACTGACATCCACTGGTTAGTCCCAGATAGAGTGCAAACCCAGTGTCAGGTGTTTGCGGTGTCCTTTCCGGAGTCCGTCATGAAGACTGATCCTCTTGATGAATCCATCCGTTAGCCAACGAGTACCAGGGGTGCTTGGTGTAGCGTTTAGGATGGCCGGTGGAATGTCCCCGTAGGGTACCGATGGTTTCTGGCAGTGAGGTCAGCGGGGCGGCAAGAGGACAGGCCAAGTGACCTTCTGGGTACGGGAGATTTGTCCTACAGCCGTGATTGCACAACTGCCATAGAGGTAACACTGTCGGAATGATACCTGGTGCGGCCAGCTGGGGGTCACCCAGCGTGCAAGAGGGGGTCACCCAACAAGCACAAGCATACCATGCAGTATAGGCATGCAGGGGAGGGGGTCACCCTAAGTCTGAACATAATCGGACACTGTAGGTACAGTGGTGCGGCCAGCTGGGGGTCACCCAGCGTGCAAGAGGGGGTCACCCAACAAGCACAAGCATACCATGCAGTATAGGCCAGCAGGGAGGGGGTCACCCTCAGTCTGAACATAATCGGACACTGTGGGTACAGTAGTGCCGAAGTGGTTAGCCGTATAATAAAGTAACCAGACATTGCCGGTCCAGCAGTGTAGACGGCAGGAGGGGGTCACCCTCATATAACCAGAACCTGGCATTGCAGATCCAACAGTGCTGTAGGTAAGAGGGGGTCACCCTCAGTGTGGTATCATAGAGGTCTGTACACCCAGCAGTGTAGTCAGCGAGAGGGAGTCACCCTCATTATGGTTATAATGGGACCCTGTAGGTCCAGCAGAGTAGTCCACAGGAGGGGGTCACCCTCAGTATCTGCGTAATGCAGGGCACTGTAAGAACAGAAGCTCAATCAGTGGGAGGGGTACCCTCTTTTAGCAGGACATTGCCGGAGCATTAGTATAGGAAGCAGGAGGGGGTCACCCTCAGCATTAATCTTACAGGACGCCGTAGAGCCAGCAGGGTACTCATAGGTAGCCATGTTGCCAGAGGGAGGGGGTCACCCAGCCCACAGTGGTGTCATATGTCCATTATTATGGTCCAGTAGCGGGTAGAGCCCCAGAAATATGGATGGGGGGGGGGTTCACCCCCCCAATAATAACAGGTCTGATTGTGGGGCCAGTAGCCCCCCTGAGGGGTAGGAGGGTCCATATAGCGAGAAGCTGACTCACAGACCACTCAGGTATTATAATAGGATACACTTTTGAATTGTATGTGTAGTGGAAAATTTAAGTCCCTTGCAGGAAGGGCAGCAAATCCTAGGCAGGGGAGCTAGGTGCTGAAAAACAGGCCATTTAATTTTTATGAGAAAAAGACTGAACCTTAGAGAAAGACTTGATTAGCATATAACACATGTGGCATAGTCCTGTTAAACAAAGATTTTTATTTGAGCAGTAACATGTCTCTTTAAATCTGAGATTCACATGCAATAGTAAAAAAAGTCTACTGCTAAGATAGAGAACCTAGTCACATTGCATCAGACATAGTAAACTGCAGTTGTGAGCGTGCCTGGGACAGATCCTGCTATGATCCTGCTATCCAGGATCTGTTACATATGCAGCATGTGAGACAGGCACAGTAAGTAGAGGGATAGCTGAAAAACTGGGCTATCTCCCCTGATATAGGGAGAGGGGAGGGTGGCCACATGGCCAGCAGGCCAGTTCTCGGGTGAGACCTGGCTGTTCGCAACGCACAGAGCCCATGTGGCTCTGAAAAATGGCCGCCGCGGATCTAACAAAATGGCTGCCGTGGCTGCAAAAACAGAGCGCGGCCAACCGCGTGGTGATCGTGCGGCAATGCCACGGTAGAAAAGGCTGCCAGGGGCCACGGGGAGCAGGTGTGGAATAAGGGAGAAAGGGTATGGGCGACAGAGCCCAGCAGGGGAACAAATTACAGGCAGAGCCAAAGCATCATAGCAGGGGCATCCATTCCCCATACAGCAGAGTGAGAAAACAGAATAAAGCAGTATACAGAATCTGTCAGATAAATACAGCAACAGATGTTAATAAATAATAATGCAGCTACATAGCATGAAGTGGTATAGGAAATAACACAGAATAAACTGCCTAGATAAACCCAGCAATAGACTGCCTAGATAAACCCAGCAATAGACTGCCTAGATAAACCCAGCAATAGACTGCCTAGATAAACCCAGCTATAGACTGCCTAGATAAACCCAGCAATAGACTGCCTAGATAAACCCAGCTATAGACTGCCTAGATAAACCCAGCAATAGACTGCCTAGATAAACCCAGCAATAGACTGCCTAGATAAACCCAGCAATAGACTGCCTAGATAAACCCAGCAATTAAGCTGCTTAAACAAACCTAACAAATAGACTGATTAAATAGACTGTTTAAATAAGCAAGCAGCATGTAGGATAAAACAACAACCAAGAGCAGAGACAACTCTGAGTTGGTGAGTGCTCACCTGGAGGCAGCAGCAAAGAAAGAGGGAGTGGAAGAGCCTGCTTAGGGGTTTTATACTACTGTTGCTTTGTTCTGATTGGTTGTTTTGAAAAGTTCTGTTAACTGTTTCTTTGCTGCTGGAGGTTTCAGTAAAGAAGGTAAAGCAAATATGAAGCCTCCTGTCCTGCCATAAAATTATATGTGACCCAAGTCTATAATTGTATGGACTAGAAAGAATAGGGTTCTGGATATGATGGTATTCAATGTAAATTATTTGCTGAGTTTGTTATGGACAAGGGATTCGAGTTTATATGTATTATGACCCAATGCTTATTGAAGAAATGTACTAGAGAATACGGATTGGTCAGAACAGATGTTTAGGAAACATTTGGACAATCCTACGTTAAAGAAGCAAAGGCATATGTCAAGGAAGAAAGTGATGATAATGAATTTAAATTATCTCTTCCGAGTTCTTTTCAAGTAAACTATTTCAAGTGTAAGTTTTTCCTAATGAATAAAAATGTTTGTTACTATAGGGTGGACATTTAGTGGGAATGATAATAATGTAAATAAACACAAATAGATGTGATGGAAAGATTCCTGGGTGGAGAATTTCTAGAACAATGAGTACTGTCAACGGCATGAACATTATTTGAAGAATTATTTGAGGGTTCACACTAGCTTTGAATGTTTACAAATTATTATGAATCTTATAAGAAGTGTTAGTTTATTTCGGATAGTGAGAGCTTACTGAATATACAAATTGAATATTCTGATTTGAAAGTACTGGTATAACCGTCACTTGGTGTTATCAATTGTATTGGAATCAAGTAATACATGTATTAGTACTTCAGTAATACCAGTTCTTGAGAAAGAAATAACTTTGTTATAGGTGTCTGTATTAGAAATATATGTTTGTGATACACAGTAATTTTATCACTAACAATATCTTGATTTTGTTGTCTACAAATACATAACTGTACATGAGCAGGCAGATCTTACTGATATCAATAAATAGCTAAAACAGAGGCAGTTTGAAATAAAAGAAACAGCAAGAAGGATAGCACCTCAAACTTCCAAGAATTCTCATATCCCAGAAAAATGTGAATACAACTTGATTTATACTCAATAATTGTGAGACAAATGTGATATGAAAGATGTATGGATGGAAAGGTCACCGACATTGTGCTATGGTTTTAGGACAAACAATAAACAGAAGGACTTGTAGAATATTGCATGTTCTAATGTCATGAGATATGGGTGTCTAGATTGAGCATAAGTAATATTCACAGTCAATAAGTCACATGGTTTTCTTTGTCTGAGAATTCTGGAATGTGGTTACATATAAAGACGGTTTTCATACGTGTCCTTATATGACCAGAGTTATAGCTAAAAGGTCTGACGTAATTTTGACCATAGCTATATAGCATAGTGGACAAGGGACCACTAGGCTTGTTGTCTGTTAGTTTGTTCCCTGACTTTGCACACTCTACCTCTACCTTCCTGAGTCCAGCAGTTAACATCTGCTGCTGAACATCCATCATCCTGTAACATCCCTTATTTTATATTAGTAATTGTAAGCAAAATAAACTTAATGAAAATCTAAGTCTAATGCATATTGATGTTTCTAATTGACACACGGAAGAATTATAATAAATTATAATAAATATGCACAGTTGTAATCAAAATTATTCAACCCCCATTGAAAATTAGGTTTATATTCAAAATTTGCAGACTTTCCGTTGTTCGTAACGAGCAAATCTAACAAAAGGAATTGAAATAGCTCAACTCAACAAATGCTTCAAGTGGTTTTCCCAAATTCAACTGAAAATGCAACTTATAATTACTTCTACAGTCTCAAAATTATTCAGCCCCTTAATGGCAAGCACCTTTAGTACAGCACCTTTTGCTGTCATCACCCGCTGAAGAAGAGGCTCCAGCAAGAGGGCAAATAGAATAGGGGACAGGGGGCAGCACTGTCTTGTACCATTAAATATTCTAAAAGGAGCCCCAGAAGAGCCTGGAAGCTGTTATATTTGTACCAGAACCCCTGTCTTGAGCCGTGCATGAAACCGCTTAAAAATACCACCAATCAGCACCAAATCCATCATCAATGGTTCCACTATCCTTCCCAATTTCTCCCAGAATCTTGGATCAGAAGCATTAGATGCATACCCATTTACAATATGTAACTTCCAATTACCCATTATTCCTGAGACCAGTAAAAAGTGCCTCTCCATGACACCTACGGTATATACCATTTGAAATTGACACCTCTTCTGAACCAATAGCGCAGCTCCATTATGTTTTCTTATTGCATCAGAGGTGTAGACCTTATCATACTTTTTATCAACCAAAGTAATCAGATAAGATTTATTTAAATAAGTCTCCTAAATTAAAGCAATATTAGCCTCTAACGGAGTCAATTCTCTATACATTATTCTACTCTTCTGAGGGAAATTTAACCTTTTCACATTTATAGATACTATTTTAACTGTTATTGTATAAACAATGAGTTAGTTTTGATAGCCACTGCCACGGCAACACAAGCAAAGACCCATTGCAGAAAAAATAAATAAGACCATCCCCAACAACCAATGTATATACTAAAAAACCTAAACTGACTCCTGGGCTTACTTCTCGCCAAGTGAAAATTGGGGCGACCATCACTCCTTGGTCTGATTAGGCCATAGGTCTGGATGGTAACACTCTCATAGTCCTGCAGCATTACTAATATAATGTCTCACCAGGATTAACATTAAAATAACCTAAAAACATCCTATACAAATCTACTAATAGCTAAAGTTTGCATAGCCAACACAAGAAAGGGTAATTGAAGTATGTTTGGCTTTACAGCCCATATGTGTTTACTCTTAAAGAAAATAAAAATTGGTAATGGATTATTTTTTACTACTCCCCTTCATGGCCCTGTTTATGTTTTCACTCTCCTCCCCCCACCCCCCCACTTCAAATTCCATTTACAATTTGCTGTTTATCTCATTTTCCTTTTACCCTTGTCACTCTTTGGAGCCATTGCTTGTATCCCTTTATCTAAGTATCTTTTTTCTCCTTATGTAGCCTCTGTGGGCTTATAAACACCTTAGCCATGATACATATGTCGCTAAAAATGTTGTAAATATAGCTATTTTGTATAGCTTACAAAGAATTCACGAGAGCTAGCATAACAGCCAAAATGGTTAAAGGATTACTATAGGGTCAGGAACACAAACATGTATTCCTGACCCTATAGTGTTAACACCACCATCTAGCCCCCCATGGCCCCTCATGCCTACATAAATATAGCTAAATCTTATTGTATTCAAGCCTGAAGCTGTAACTCTGCATGCTGTTAAACTCAGAAAAACAAGCAGTGTGCTGACATCATCAGAAGTGGTAGCCTGATCCAATCACAATGCTTCCCCATAGGATTGGCTGAGACTGACAAAGAGGTAGATCAGGGGCAGAGCCAGCATGATTCAAACACAGCCCTGGCCAATCAGCATCTCCTCATAGAGATGAATTGAATTAATGAATCTCTATGAGGAAAGTTCAGTGTCTGCATGCAGAGGGAGGAGCTACCGAATGTTTGGATGCATTTTAGGCAGCCATGACCCAGGAAAGATCTCTAACAGCCATCTGAGGATTGGCCAGTGAAGTTATCACTAGGCTGTAATGTAAACACTGCATTTCTTATTCAGCAAAAAGCCTGAAGGTAATGATTCTACTCACCAAATTCAATAAGCTGTAGTTGTTCTGGTGACTATAGTGTCCCTTTATCCCCTTAAGGACCAAACATCTGGAATAAAAGGGAATCATGACATGTCACACAGGGCATGTGTCCTTAAGGTGTTAATCTATAAACTTGCTTCCTAACTTAAAGGGACTCTCCAGGCAGAGGATTTTACTCACCTGGTTCCAGCGCCGGGAGCCTCATGAAGCCACGCCCCCTATTTCGTCAAAATGACGAAATAGGTGGGCGCGAGCAGGGAGCAATCAGATGCTTCCATTTGGAAGCGTCATTGCTTCGCCACACATGTGCACATACTTCAGAGGGCGGCATTCATGACAGGCAGAAGAGAGAAGGCGCGCACACAGTGCCTTCTCTCTCCTGCACACGTCAGACGTATTTTAATATGTCTGACGTGCACAAGGCCTTTTTAGGGCCCTGCATGATAGGAAGTCCCTCTGGTGGCTGTCTGAGTGACGGCCACTGGAGGTATTCCTATCAATCAATGTAAACACTGTATTTTCTCTGAAAATACAGTGTTTACATTAGATTGCCTGCAGGGAGCTATAGATCTCACCTGAACAAATACATTAAGCTGTAGTTGTTCAGGTAAGTATAGTGTCCCTTTAAAAGGAACCTTTTTGTTTGCCTTCTTTTGGATCAACAGCAAAAACCAAATATGAGGAAGGCTGAACTTGATGGATGCAAGTCTCTTTTCAGCAATGTAACTATGTAACCTTCCACTGCCCAGATACCAACCGAATGCAGATCCCTGTTTAGTAGATATACTTTAAGCGAAAAACATGTATAAACTTTAGCAGAAATAGTTTGTGATACTTACAATTTTCTTGCCTGCTACCCCTACACACCATCCCCTTCTAACCCTACCCAGACTCTCTGTGGCCCACCCACTGCAACTCAATTGTAAATCTCTGCAAAACTGGATGCACTACCTCTTAAGTTCAGCTCTGCTGAGCCATTGAAACCAGGGAGCAGGACTAGGTGTCTACTCGCAAACCAAGAGGGTGCAACCAGATTTAATTACAACAGTATTGATTTAATCTACCCCACCTCCAAACCGAAGCAAAGCAGGCACGCTCCTCTCAATTATAGGCAATTTAAATTCCATATAAGGCTCCTTCTATATCATATAGCTCAGGAAGGGAAAGAGGAACACCACACAACACCTAGAATAGACAAAATCTGACAAATAGATTAAAGGGACACTAGTCACCTGAACAACTTTAGCTTAATGAAGCAGTTTTGGTGTATAGAACATGCCCCTGCATGTGACTTGCACAGCCTTCCATAAACACTTCCTGTAAAGAAAGCCCTATTTAGGCTTTCTTTATTGCAAGTTCTCTTTAATTAAGATTTTCTTATCCCCTGCTATGTTAATAGCTTGCTAGACCCTGCAAGAGCCTCCTGTATGTGATTAAAGTTCAATTTAGAGATTGAGATACAATTATTTAAGGTAAATTACATCTGTTTGAAAGTCAAACCAGTTTTCATGCAGGCTCTGTCAATCATAGCCAGGGGAGGTGTAGCTAGGGCTGCATAAACAGAAACAAAGTGATTTAACTACTAAATGACAGTGAATTGAGCAGTGACATTGCAGGGGAATGATCTATACACTAAAACTGCTTTATTTAGCTAAAGTAATTTAGGTGATTATAGTGTTCCTTTAATGCTGGCTAAGAGTTTCAGAATAGTGTTTGCAGCCAACTTCCAGTAAGGTTTATTCCCCTAGTTCAGTGATGGCGAACATTTTTGAGCCCGAGTACCCAAACCGCAATACATGCCAACTTTTTTCCCTCAAAGTGCCAACATGGCAATTAAACCTGAATACTGAGGTTTACGTTTAGAAAAAAACTACTCGTACAGTTAACAACTTTTGTTTAAAAAGAAGAACACAACAGAGAGTTAAATTATAAAAATTTTAAATAATGATATGAATTAAGCTTATATTTATTAGTATCTCCAACAAATGCAATACATACACACAGACTGCTGAACACATTCACACACCAACTGCTTAATACATACACACACCAACACACAGACAGACTGCTAAATACACACACAGTCCGCTAAATACACACACACAAACACGCACACTGCTGAATACACGCACACTGCTGAATACACACACTGCTGAATACACACACACACTGCCGAGTACACAATCTGCTGAATATACACACACACTGCCGAGTACACAGTCTGCTGAATATACACGCGCAGTCTGCTGAGTACGCAGTCTGCTGAGTACACACGCAGTCAGCTGAATACACACACACACTGCTGAATACATAAAGACTGATGAACACACACACATATACTGCATTGAGGGGTGTGTTCGTGTGTAGTGCTGTGTATGAGAGGTGCTGTGTGTGGGGGGTTTAGTGGTGCTGTGTGGGGGGGTAGGGTGCTGTCTGTGTGGGGTGTAGGGTGCTGTGTTTGTGTGTGGGGGTAGGGTGCTGGGGGAAGGGGTGCTGTGTGTTGGGGGTAGGGTGGGTGTAGGGGGGGTAGGGGTACTGTGTGTGTAGGGGTGCTGTGCTGTGTGTGGGGTAGGGGTGTTGTGGTAGTGCTGTGTGTAGGGGGGTAGGGGTGCTGTGTGTAGGAGGGTAGTGGTGCTGTGGGTAGAGGTGCTGTATTTAGGGGGGTAGGGGTGCTGTGTGTAGGGGGGTAGGGGTGCCGTGTGTAGGGGTAGGAGCTGAAGATGCATTACACAAAAAAAAAAAAAACATTAAATACTTATTAAATCAGTACCCCCCCTTCCCTTCTTCTTACCTTTGGTGAAGGGGAGGGATGGAACACAGCCATCCCTGGTGGTCCAGTGGTGGTAAGTATGCAGGACAGGATGACAGGTCCTGCAGCTCTCCTGTCCTCCAGCCCGATGCTGTGTGGGGCGTTGCCATGGTAACACGCGGCAACGCTCCACACAGCTCGAGGGAGGACAGGAGAGCTGCTTCCTCGATCCCTCCCACTGCTTCCGATCCTCCCGACCCGGAAGAAGAGTAGGCGCCTGCCGTTTTGAGCAGGCAGGTACTTACTCTGCATTGATGGCAAACCTATGGCCGCGTGCCCACAGCGAGGGCCCGGCGTGCTATAGGTTCGCCATCACTGCCCTAGTTGCTGGAGAGCACCACAGTATCTGTTTCAGCCAACTCAATAAAACTTTAACCTTGAAACCTTGTATTTAGTGTGTTACAAACTAATTCAAAACCTCCTTTTAAAGTTTAAACAGCACTCATGTTAGATGCAAGAAGTGACTTTTCAATATATAATAGGGATAAAGGGTAAGAGAGACCAAACTACTCCTTACCTATTCTATTCTTTCAAAAGCCATGTAGACTGTAAGCTCATTTGAACAGGGTCCTCGTCTACCTATTGTTCCTGTGTCACTGTGTAATTGTCTAATGCATTGTAAATCCCCCTACCCCTTTCATAAAATTGTAAAGCTCTGCGGAATTAGTTGGCACTATATAAAAAGCAATAATAATAATGATAATAAGCCAATACACCCCCTATGGTTATTTTACACCTATTTACTTAACAGTCTCCTATCTTGTAAGCATCTTCCTAGTCCCCTCAATGATATTGGGTTGCAATATAAACAACCATATCTAAGGTTACATTAATTTAACCTTTGTAAATGTATATGCAAAACACATTAGAGCATAATACATGGTTAAATATTTTCCTTTTTAAATCATAAAGAAAATGATCAATTAAAATTCTCATGCAGCTCATTCAACCCCTGTGCTTCGTACGGAGATTCATCAATAGGAAAACAGCCAGTGCTGAAAACCGGACAGTAGATAAATAAAACTGCATAGATAAGAGGAAAATCCTGATTATATATATATTTCTTCTTAATTGCATGGCTCATTTACCTTTATTGTATTTACCTTTCAAATCTCCCCTTTCTTCCAGTGTAAGTATTTGTAGCTATTGCCCAGTCTTCAAACTCTGTAAGAAGATAAAACTGAAACTAGTTTTCTCGGATGTGCCACACCCACACAGGTGTTTGAATCCAGATTAACCTGTTAAGAGTGAAAAGTATTGATTTTTTTTTCTAATTTGAAAAATTATTGGAAGAGGTTTCATTGTGAAGAGAGGTAAATTGTAATTGTGAATTGGTTGAGAATTGCAAGTTAATTGCATATTTTAGGTGAAAAAAAGGCCAAATGGAAAACATTCTCCAAGACAAATATGTTTCAAGTTCAGCTATTTTGTCCTAAAATTTGTAATTAATTGGTTAATTCCTGACAAATCACAATTTAGTGAATATCCCAGTTAGCATTAGATGTGATATAATTCATGTTCAGTGAGAGCAAAACTAAAACCATTTGTTGGAAACAGTGAATGGTATTTAGCCCCTTTAAAAACAAAGCTGATTTTTACTACCAATAATAGTCTTCATTTAGCTCACATATTGTTTAAGTGACCAGACCATTTTTCAATTTTCTTACCATTAAGGACCAGAGCTGTTTTTACATTTCTGCGGTGTTTAGCTGTAATTTTCTTCTTACTCATTTACTGTACCCACATATATTATTTACCATTAAAGGGTCTTTTTAAAGATACCATTATTTTCATCATATCATATAATTTACTATAAAATTTTTTTATAAAATATGATGACTTTTTTTTAAAAAAACACACTTTTTCTAACTTTGACCCACAAAATCTGTTATGCATCTACAACCGCCAAAAAATACCTGTGCTAAATAGTTTCTAAATTTTGTCCTGAGTTTAGAAATACCCAATGTTAATATGCTTAGCTTTTTTATTTGCAAGTTATAGGGCAATAAATACAAGTAGCATTTTGCTATTTCCAAACAATTTTTTTTCAAAATTAACGAAAGTTATATTGTAACACTGATATCTGTCAGGAATCCCTGAATAACCCTTCACGTGTATATTTTTTTTAAAAGAAGACAACCTAAAGAATTAAACTTGGGGTATTTTGACTCTTCATGCAACCACTTTACAACCAATCTACGCCAAATTTAAAAAAATAATTAGTGATGTTTGTTTGACACAAGTATTGAGAACTTTAAAAAGAACACCAAAATATGAGTTTAGCAACATCTCCTGAGTACAGTGATACCACCCATGTGTAGGTGCAGGGCCGGCCACACACACACACAGGCAGACAGTCAGACACTGTTACAGACGGTCACACACACAAACACACACAGGCAGACAGTCACACACACACAGAGTACATTCTCTCACTCACTCACTCCACACACACAAACACACACAGGCAGACAGTCAGATACTGTTACAGTCACACACAGAGTACAGTCACACACACAAACACGCATAGGCAGACAGTCACACACAGAGTACATTCTCTCACTCACTCACTCACACACACAGGCAGACAGTCAGATACTGTTACAGTCACACACAGAGTACAGTCTCACACACACACACACACACACAGGCAGACAGTCTCACACACAGAATACAGTCTCACACACACACACACACACAGTACAGTCTCTCACTCACTCACACACACACGCGCAGGCAGACACTGTTACAGTCTCACACACACACAGCCAGACAGTCACACACAGAGTACAGTCTCACACACACACACACAGTCATACACATAGTACAGTCTCACACACATACACAGGCAGTTACAGACAGAGTACAGTCTCACACACACACACACACACAGGCAGTCAGTCACAGACAGAGTAGTCTCACACACACACACACACACACACACAGGCAGTCAGTCAGTCACAGACAGACACACTACAGTCACACACACAATTACCTATTTCCCTTATGGCTGGAAGAGAGGAGTTGAAGCAGGGATTCTTTTCTTGCCCCTAAGGCCAGCCCTGTATAGGTGTGTCGGGTTCTCTGGGGGATAAAAGACCTTATTTAGAATTTTCACAGCTGGTCATCATGCACCCATGTCCTATTTGGGACATTTTTGATGCCGGCCAATGTAATTTACCCCCATCAAACCATATATTTTTGAAAAGTAGACACCCTAGAGTATTTCAAATGTTGGTATTTTAACACTTTCCATGCACTAATTCTACCACCAGTCTTTGTCAAACTTTTGGGTAGTCATTTTTTGTGTTATTTTTCTCTCACATTGTACTTAAGGCATGGATTCTCAGTTCCTGTTGTGTGTTACTGAAAGAACACCCCAAAAAGTGTTCAGCAACTCTCCTGAGTACAACAGTACCCTCAATGTACAGGTTTTATGGGGTTTTTTCAAACTAACCTGGGTCAAATATAGGGCTTTCCCCTCTTCCATGTTTGCACATTGAGATTTGCCAGTTTGGTTTGCTGGGCCTATGTTGCATTTGAGACCTTATGGCAGCCCAGGAATGAAAATTAACCTCTTTAATGAGGTTAATTTTCATTCCTGGGCTGCCATAACAACCCACAGTATTCAAAATGGGGTATGTCCAGTCTTTTTTAGTAGCCACTTAGTCACAAACCCTGGCCAAAATTAGCATTTACATTTGTTTTTTTTTTTTTTTGCATTTTTCACACATAAACTGCCATTTCACCAATTATATTATCAGTATAATACATTCTACTGCTCTAAAGTGCGAGTACAACAGTATCCCTCAAGTACAGGTTTTGTTTTTGGTTTTTTTATTCAAAGTTTATTGATGTGAAAAGTGCATACAGCAGTAAAATGCAATATATCTGGAAATGCACATGGAGCGAGAAAGTATCACAACATCTTATAGGATAGACATGAGTTTTGAAGTGACAACATAATGATGCAACAATATTGTTTGGAGCTGTAGCACATATCCTGAGTGAGTAAAGGTAACAGAGGTAAAACAATAGGAATATCCAAATAAGGCTAGGCCGGCAAACGTCTGGGTCGTGTTACAATAGTTTAACCTTGCAGTTGTGGGCCGGTTCGTATGTCATTAAGGTAGAGTGTTGGTGAGACTGTGCGGTGCTGTGTGGTGCGTCGTAGCTAATGTCAGCGGTGCAAAACCTTAGCACCAAATATTAAGAAGTTGGTCAGGTACTTGGCAGGTCGGTTTTCCTGTATTGTGAGATTGCCAGGCCTAATCGTGACCAGGTTAGGTTGTTTCACTCTTTGCTTGTAGGCAGTCTTAGGTGCATATGTGTGTGTAGTGTGTACAGGTTTTATGTTGATTTGGAAAATTACAGAGTCAAACATAAAATGTGAAACCAAGAGGGCTGCACTCACCTGAACATGCATACATTATAGGGTGCTGCTGGGGTCAAAATATACAAAATACACAATCCAGCGCACTCACTTATTCACTAAACAATGATCTCAAAAGAGCAAGCATTAGTCTGCTAGAGTAGGACCTGCCAATAATGGGGTAAATCAATGTTGTGGCAGGCTTATGCAATATATGATCATATGATGTAACTCAACCCCCATATTTTTTTTGCCTAGGTGAGGTGTTTTTAAATAAAACTATTACAATCTCTAAGATTGGAAATCATTGTTTAGTGAATAGCGAGTGCGCTGGATTGTGTATTTTGTAAATCTTGGCCCCAGCAGCACCCTATAATGTATGCATGTTCAGGTAAGTGCAGCCCTCTTGATTTAATTTATATATTTGGGAGTCCAGGCCAACAACTTGGTTTTGAACAACTCCTGTCACAGGTACCTCATTCCAGTCTTTTGTAATAGCCACTTAGTCACAAACGCTGGACAAAGTTAGTGTTTTTATTAGTTTTTTAAATTTTTTTAAACAAAAAACACTTTTACTGGTTATATCATCATTGTGATAAGTTTTACTTTTTAAAACACTCATATTTGTGTTTAGTGAAGTCTCCCGAAGTATAACAATACCCCCCATGTAAAGGTTTTATGGTGTTTCGGAAAGTTATGGGATTAAATATAGGGCTTGCCAATTAAATTCTCTGGACTGTCTGCCTGGGTTGTCAGGCAGGTCCCTCAAATTATAATTAATAAACTCAAATAATTATGTAGTAAATATATATGTATATGTGTGTGTGTATATATACATGCATACACACATATTATATATGTGTGCGTGTGTGTGTGTATATATATATATAAAATAAATAAAATGTTTTTGGTTTTTTAATTTATATAATATATATATATATATAATTTATATTATATATATACACGTGTGTGTGTGTGTATATATATATATAGATATATACACACACACACACACATAAACATACAATATGTGTGTATATAATACGTGTGTGTGTATATGTATATATACACACACGCACACACACACTTTTATTTCCTATATATATGTATAATATAATATATTATACATATATAATGCATAGATATGATTTCATTATAAGTGTATTTTGAGATATATGTGTATGCATCTCAAAGTACACTTATAATGAAATCATATATATGCATTATATATGTATAATATATTATAAAATGCATTATTTGATATTATGCATATACTATATAATATATGTATAATATAGTATATATGTATATAGTCCTTGACAACTGTTTTTTGTCGGAAGTACATAGTTCGTTAAGGAGATATACGTATTTATAATATAATTCTAAATGTATTTTGATTTAAATATATATGTATATTAATATCAAAATACAGTTATAACTAATTTAAACCAGTATATAATTTTTTTAAAAATTCATTTATTTTTATTTTATATATATATATTTTTTTTTAACGTTGTTCTAAGTGTATTTTAATATTAATATATATATATATATATATATATAAAAAAATCAGCACTCCCAGGTAGCTTTCTTTTACTATTGTTATGGGCAAATGTAAATATTACAAGTTTTAGAATGAAATGTTGTATTCCTTAAACTGTGTACTTTGTCTTTAAGAGATATTGCAAACTGACAAGGTGTTAGAAATTGAACATATTGTTTTTCATAACTGTTTCTTTAAGCAATAACCTCAGTGCATAATATGTTTGCGCCATTTTGTCCCAGCCGAATTACAATAACAATAATGCATAAACAAGCTTCAAGACTATACTACGACACTTGCAGAACACAATATACTGTGGTAACCCCAAGTTAATGGAACTTCCCCAAATCCGGGAATCTCCCACGACAGTACACTTACGACTTAGTATAAACAACAGATAACCTATTCAGACTTTAAGATGCCATCTTGAACTAAGTCAGCAAAATTTCCATGACGTATACACCCTTTAGTTATGGCCTTGTATGTTTGCCAAGTAAAGGGAGGTCCTAAATTGAATAAAGTAAAAGAAGTGTTACTTTTTCATATTTGAACTACAGTAACCTTAAAATGGAGACACCTAAGGTATAAATAGGTGTACTTTTAAATGTTAAGACACAGAGGAGAGACTTGGAGACAGACGCTGCTCCATCTTAAAATGACAGAGAGGCTGACATGATGACATGTTCAGAAGGGTATGTTAACCTATTAATGATATTTGCAAGCATGTAATTTAATCTTATAAACTCTGCTATAATGGATTTTATATTTTTATATAATAAATATCCAAAAGACAATCTTGCTTCCAAGACAATCCTTATTTTATATTGTATTCTCAATTATTTATATATGTTAAATAGAGGATCTCTTACACTATATAAAATTATGGCTAAGATATCTGTATGGTTAGCCCTACTAAGTTCTATGCTTTAAGACATTATAGTGGTAAATAAGGGAACCACCTGCGGTTACAATTGGCGACCACGAAGGGACTTTGTACTTGGAAGCTTTAAATATAAAATAAATACCTAGGTAACCTCTTATACGTAAGAGAAGACACAGTACTTTGTCATGGCACAAGTCTTGAAATATCAAGAATCTATTGAGCTATGTGTAGCCCAGACTCAGAGAGAGATCATCATTAGAAATGATTTTAATGTGAACAAGGCACTGTGAGTTCAGGTGCCAGGTACAACGTAATTAGCATAGAATGCTGAAATTGTGGATCTTAACTAATATCATAATAGAACAAATATACATATTTGGTAAACTCCCTGATATGCCTAATACACCAGCACAGCATGGCCCGTTAGTTCCAGGACAGTGGATTGCAGACAGGGGGATATGTTCTCTTTGTAGCTGCTTAGTATGCATGCGCAGGAAAAAGATTAATGCAAAATGTTGTCAAAAGAAAAGTGATAAGACAGAGCGATGAAATTTGAAGTCTAATTCCAAGAATGCAAAGAAAAAATGCATTATGGCTTAATGAAAACATTCATGCAACAGACAGGATTTTTAATTATTGCATTACTGCGTTCTGGATTCTAATGTCCACTATATATGAAAGGTTTTATAAAACAGTGATAATTTCCATATTGTCCGTTACGTTAGCTGTTGATTAAAAATCAGGAATTATAACAGTATAACTATTTTTGGAGTCTGGAATTTCCAGCCAAGGTTGCGGAGATATAGAGACATGTAAACATTCCAAGGAATTGAGAAGTCGTTTTATATTCCAAATTATGAACAATATTATTACATACAGCCACAAAGAGAAAGACATGGCTTTTAAATACATTCAGTGCAGTACAATGCAGTACACTGCAGCATATATTTTATATAATATATAACTAGCTCATATTTTTTCCTAAACAGAGTTGAAATTATACTACCCTCCTAGAAAAAAGGGCAACAGGTGGTTATACATCCTTTGCTTTGCTAAATCCTCTGCAAAAATAAATATAAAATGATTAAAAATAATATATACGTAAGATAAAGCGGGGCAAAATAAAATGGTAACTATACCGGATCTCTGATAACTTTTAAACTGAAATTATTAAAGGCTTATTTAAATAAAATGTTAAATACATTAACGGCTTTAAATGTGATCAAAAGATATTAAATGATGTGTTAAGCAGCCAGCCCAATTCACTAGAATAGCATAAGTATTCTACTATTTAAAGTGCACAATTCCTGCACATAATGACTTTGCTTACTCAGGTACAGTCTTTAGTCTATTGCAATGGCAGTAAAGTCCACCAATTTTAAAAGGGAAAGCTTACTTAAATCAGTGGTACTATCCCACCGTACTAGCAGTAAGGAAATTAGAACAATTATATTGTACTACTGACTGTAATCAGATCAGACACATGTAATCTCAGTGAATTTCATAAACTAGGTTTTCATAAAATAAATATAAAATTAAATTTCAAAGTTATTTATATATAAATATATCAATGTTGTTTATAAATAAAAGTATATAGACCAAGCAATAAGAGCATTTACATGCATTCAGCAGCCTGCTCTCTCAGAGCCAGAACTGGATTTATAAAAAAAAAATAGGTTTTACAAAGTCCACAGTCAACCACACATGAAGGGTGAAATAATTGCTTCTTTAAAAGCTATATGCTGCCTCAATTATGTATATAAATACTGATTAGGGCACAGAGTAGAACTAAAAATACAGTTTTAAATCTCATATATGGGGATTCAGTTCCACCACATATTCTACAATTCTGAAAGAGGCTAATTTTAATAATATGTTGTAAGAGCACTGTGAATATATATAATGCAAAATTTATTTGATATCGCAAAGCCTGCAATATTCTAAACAGACATTCAAATTAAAAAAAAAGAAAAGAAAAATAATAATGCATAAAGAATAATGCATAAAAAAATGCAGGGTCAATTAAAGTGATAATACTCTGATATATTAAATCACATTGCATATCACATATCTGCCAAATGAAAAGTATAATTAAAGTGACATTACTGTCCAAAGCCCCCTCACATCTATTTTATAGAATCTATACTTTTTTGTGGTCACCTCCAAAGAAGCCTCTGAAATGGGGGGGCTCAGAGGGGTGCTCATCCCAAAAGGAATCAGATTCCAGACTTAAATTTTTTTAAATAACATATGCCTTAGAGACATACAAAGGATATTTAATTAAATATGCAGGTATCTTTAAAATTTAAGCAATGTTAAAATAAATAAAAAATAAAAATATATATTTATTTTACACCACAATATAAATAGCTTTATTAAACAGATTTAAGTACAAGTACTTATGACAAGAAATATACAGACTACGTTTACAACAGGCAGGTTTAGCATAAATGCAAAGTTGTTGTTTTGGGGGATTTATCATTGCCCAAGAAATCTCTGAACATATTCAGAATTTTTGAGAGCAGCAAGTAAGACAGCAGATTGCAATGGACACCATTACAATATTGCTTTGCCGATTGAGGTCAGAGCTTTAAAGAATAAATAAATAAATGTTCTATAGCTCACTATACCACTGGCTTTTAATGAACAGTTTGCACAACACATATAAATAGTTTGTAATACTGCACATTATAGCTGTGACAACATAATATACAGGGTGAAAATGCTATTTCACTGTTTAATAGACTTACCCAGTATTTAAGGACGACATGTTTCTTGCAAAGTAATCGGGACTTTGAGGGAGGTTCTAACTACGTTTAATTAATTAATTTACTTTTAAAAAAAGAAGGTTTTGTTTTTCCCCTGCAAGTGAGTTTTCAGCGCAAGGTCATTTTGTGTTCACAGACTATTCGGTTTTAAAAAGCTGTTCTTTATCTCACATTATGAACGGCCTTGTAATTCCTATGCACACTAAAAGTTGGCTTTTAAATGTTATTGTTTTAACTTTAATATTTCTTGGTTAATAGAGAGAATAAAGTAATTTAAAGAAAGTATATTGAAACTATATTAATTGATAGGATTTCATTTATCTATTTTGGGTCCACTGCTCACTGATCTCGAATCTCAGTCTGGTGTTCAAACTGTTTTTCTTACGATACGTCGTGAGTTTATATCCACAACTGCATTTTGCTTTGTGATAACAAATTGAAAGCCTGGCATTGTAATATGTGTATGGACATGCTTATAACAAAGCATGGTCCCTCTCCTCATGTAGTTGGTCTGTAACAGGCACTTTGATGCAATGTGTCTACCAACTTTTCTGTGGTCACTGGATCACAAAAGCATACCCTTTCTCTCAGTCGTGATGCAGAGTTTATGCTTGCAAGGATATCCAGACCTTATCCACCTGGTATCCGTATAAATACTCCTATCGTTTACAGGGGTTAATTACATAATAACCATTGAAGGTAATATGTTGGTTGTTCTTCCTATAGAGGAAAGATAGACTTGCCCTAAAAGCTTTTTCATGGCTAGGACAAGCTCTTATAGAGAGAGGTAATGTACTTCTGACTCCTGAAAAGGAATATTGGTGGTCCAATATGGGAAATACTGTAATTCATGTGTTTAGTAATCATAAGCATTTGTTTATTGCCACATTACTGATGTACTGTTTATTGAAATATTAATATCTAACGTACTTTTTGGATTACTATATATTGGAAGTGTGCCAACATCTCATGGTTATAAATATGTTTTTGTATGTGTTGATGCATGTACCAGGTTTACTTGGATATATCCTGTGCGAAGTGCAACCTCTGATGCCACGTTTTCTAGTCTCACTTCCTTAGTATGCATTTGATAATCCCAGGACCATCCATTTGGATGGTGGTCCTGCAGTTACTGCAAAGGAAACCTAAAACTGGGCAACCACATTTGGGTTACTTTGGGATTTCAGTGTGCCAACCACCCCCAAATAAGTGGGGTTGTGGTCTGGGAGAATGCTGAGGTTAAATGATTATTAACCAAGTTACTAGTTGCTTGCCCCACACAGTGGTATATATTTATTCCTATGGTACAGATGAACATTCACAACTTCAATACCTGATGATACAAATGGTGAGACACCATATGAAATGTTACATGTTTTTCCACTGACAAACATATTTCTGCACCAGGGAGAGCTTAGAACCATTGGTTCTATTAGAGAAATTTGGGGAATTTTTTTTCCAGCCCACCTTGCCTTGCACCACCACCTATTTCCTTCTGTTGGCCAGCTTGTCCTGGAGAGAGTGACTCAGAGAACTTTTACTACAGAGAACAATCAGAGCCAACAGAGAACAGTGAATTTGATATTTTACAACCTGCTAAAATACTTCCAGGACATTCACAGAACCACTGACTGACACAATGGATACTGTTAAAGATGACAAGATAAAACAAACAGAGGACGACAGAAATGCCACCAAAACACAGCCATCAGAATCATAGCCACGTAACAGACTGAATCATGATCTGACATCTGAACCTGCAAATGTGAAGGAGAAGGATGAACAGACAGATGTGATACATTCACAGTTAACATGAAATGTACGAAGAATGAATAATCAACATCATTATAAGAAAGACTCTGGAGAAAAAAGACTGAACCTGAATTATCTTATACAGTAAGAAAGAAATGCAAAGATGGAAGCAAAAGGATGCTGGAAAATTGGTTATGGTGTCTCCTTCCTACAATCTGCAGCATTATCATAACATCAACCCTACCTGTCGTTTTAAAACTGCATTGGGATTATGTTAACAAGCAGGAAGCACCTGAACTGAATTGGACTGCACACTATACTAGTTCTTTGATCGAGAGGACTACCTCCAAGAACTATCTCATAAGGAGAGACACAGCTCACAGTGAAATGATTGCCTACACTGGTATTTCACAAGGAACCTATTGAGATCATTCCAAAAACCGATTATACATGAGAAAAATGTGATTGGACTATTACAAATCCTAATAATGGAATCAACGACGATGGCAAAGCATGCTGGAAACAGAAAAAGACGGGAAAGATGCTTATGAAAGACTTTGGATGCACCTATGAAGGTGATGCAAGAAAATACTTTGCCATACAGTTTATCATTGAATGACTACCGCAGACAGCCTTCTTATGCTGAAAAGAAGTGCTATGCTAATTCTGGACATTGCTATTATCCAGACAGAAGATGACCGGAAAAAGAAATTAGGCTGATAACTGCCAACACCCAGCTGTTTTTCAAGATGCAGCATGGTACTGACAAAACCAGATTGACTATCAGAGCACCTCACAGTACAAGACACAGATTGTTAACTACAACTCAGAAAAAGTGGTTAATAGGAAGGATCAGAAGAAGAGGAATATAGATTTCCTACTGGAGAGAAAAACCATCCTGGAACAATATTCTGCAACAATGAACTTTACAATGACATTTGGTGGCATATGAATTTGAATTCGGAAGAAACACATCAATTAACAAAAGAAACCTTGATGCAATTAATAAATAACAGCAACACCGGCCTACTAAGAGCAGATGCCCTGCCAAGAGAATGGAATATAAAAGGCTGGCAAAACCTTTCAGAAACCTGAAATCATAGGACACTTGTACTAAAGCACGATTTGCAGCTTTTCTTAAATATTATGTACATACCTGCAAAGCAAGGAACTCCTGTAAACATAAACACAGCGACATTGATACAACAAGGAATCTGTAATGGTTCTGTTGCAGATGTGATCTACCGTCGTACTCCTTGCTCTTTTGGTATAACTATACCAATCAAATGTGAAATGGCTCCATTGAATCAAACAACAAAGAATTCTTGCTATATTCTGGACTTCCAGGAATGTGGTGCATGGACCGAAAATTATAATTACTAAAGCAATCATGCTATTTTTTTTCCCTGTATCAGAAATGTGTCAGTGACAATGTGTAATATAATACAGATACTATAATGGTATAAGAAACACATAACACATAATGTGTTAATTACAAAGGTGGATAGACTTTGTGAATATCTGAAACGCAATTGAAGATTATTGCTAAAATGCCATATGCAGCTGCAGTCTGGCCTACAAACAAATATATTAAACATACGTATAAGAGCATACTAGCTAATTACCCAGATAAATAATTGAATCATGATAGTTAAAGATCATATGATTGCAATAACAATTGCAATAATGAATAAGGTTTAAACTTTAGAAGAAAATATAAAATGTTTTTATTAAAACAGAAACTACTCGATATTCGTTTAAGTTTGCAGAGTGGTATAATTAATTAATATAAGTGAAATACTTCAACAGTTAAAATTTAACTGAAAGACAGGCAGAAACTTTACTTCAACTATCATAAAGTTTATTTATAATGATAAAAATATTCAGTCTGCCAGAGCCAAGGCCAGTCAATGGAAAGTAAAAGAGTATTGTGGATTAACCTGTGTCCAGGTGATATACATGATGATTTTGGAAATTGATCATTTAGGTCACCTATTGCAAACTGGTGAAAAGATGTCAAAGATATAAATTCAACATCCATACCACTCTATGTATATATATTAAAATACACGTAATCGAATATTTTATCAGTTTTTCAAATACCAAGAAAATGTTATTTGGTTTGTAATGGTTAAAGGTACATAAAACCACCTATACAAAGGTAGAGTTAAAATATAAATACATTCAATATTGTATCGGAGTGCTTTCTTAACTCACTTTTAGAAATAATAAAAATTTCTAATCATCTTAAGCTACATCCAACAGCCACTGAAAAATATACTTAAACAATTAAGATTCTCATTAAGCATCCAATCTCACGAACATAACTTTCCACAATGGCTGTCAGATCTTGGTTAAAATAAAATGTGTTTTCTAAGACAATATTTGGGGGTTTCTGGTATCTTAAGCCACTAATAACTGTAGTTATTATATTTACTAATAATAACTAGGGAATAAGTTGTCTTCTCCCTAACAGGTCAAAAAAAGATAATTAACGTCATATTTCCAATTAGCAACTATTCTAAATAGATTGAGAGATTTTGAATAAAAGAGTATTTTTAACATTTAAAGAGAATGTAATTTTACATACTATTGTGAACAAAGGTGGTAAATACTTTGCTGCTTCAAATTATCCTTATATCTCTAAATCGTATACAAGAGTGTTTACCTTTAAAACAAAACACTAGAAAGATTAACTATGTTACTATTTCATCTATCATTATTATACAAAGTATAACAAATGTAAAGATTTTTCCACAGATTTGACCTGTTAACATTTTTAGCACAACAGCACCTGATGTCAGTGAGATGTCTATCACTGAGATGTTACAAGATTCCAATACAGCAAAAAGAGGCGTTCCTGAGAATCCACTTCGATTGCTGTATCAACATAACATTTACTATAATGGGATCCATGTCACTTAAGACAATGTCTTGGAAATGCTGTCAATTAATTGATTCCGTAAAAGAATATCGTAGAGTATCCAATCTATACACATCATAAACGGTGTAAAAATGTTTCATGGAAAAAACAAAGCAAACAAGCAAAGACAAAGACCAATACCAACACCATCACCACGGTGATAACAGATTATGCGGATTCAATATCTGCGACCAATTCTAGCCAAATATTTGGATAGCTGGACTCTACAACCAATACTCTACAACAAATACCCAGGTTTTCTACAAACACAACCTCCAGCAATGTATCTAAGGAATGTAAACCTCTACAGGTCTTTAAAGACTTTGGATTACAAATACAATTACTACTTTTAACTTTGGATTACAATTCGTATCCGGATCTATCCAAGAATATATTACTCTGGAACTTGGTGTTCTTTTCAATTCTTTCCCGGACAAAAGTTTTGCTCATTTTAATCAACCACCTTTACAGGCAAAGATCACACTACGGATGTTACAACAATGATCAAAGATGCTGGGAGCACAAAAAAACCTAAAGACTGTTGGAGAACTTTGGTTCACTAATTTAAGGAAGAAATACGCTACAATGCCCACAGTTTAATGGAGAGGGTGTTATGGGCAAATGTAAATATTACAAGTTTTAGAATGAAATGTTGTATTTCTTAAACTGTGTACTTTGTCTTTAAGAGATATTGCAAACTGACAAGGTGTTAGAAATTGAACATATTGTTTTTCATAACTGTTTCTTTAAGCAATAACCTCAGTGCATAATATGTTTGCGCCATTTTGTCCCAGCCGAATTACAATAACAATAATGCATAAACGAGCTTCAAGGCTATACTACAACTCTTACAGTACACAATATACTGTGGTAACCCCAAGTTAATGGAACTTCCCCAAATCCGGGAATCTCCCACGACTGTACACTTACGACTTAGTATAAACAACAGATAACCTATTCAGACTTTAAGATGCCATCTTGAACTAAGTCAGGAAAATTTCCATGACGTATACACCCTTTAGTTATGGCCTTGTATGTTTGCCAAATTAAGGGAGGTCCTAAATTGAATAAAGTAAAAGAAGTGTTACTTTTTCATATTTGAACTACAGTAACCTAAAATGGAGACACCTAAGGTATAAATAGGTGTACTTTTAAATGTTAAGACACAGAGGAGAGACTTGGAGACAGACGCTGCTCCATCTTAAAATGACAGAGAGGCTGACATGATGACATGTTCAGAAGGGTATGTTAACCTATTAATGATATTTGCAAGCATGTAATTTAATCTTATAAACTCTGCTATAATGGATTTTATATTTTTATATAATAAATATCCAAAAGACAATCTTGCTTCCAAGACAATCCTTATTTTATATTGTATTCTCAATTATTTATATATGTTAAATAGAGGATCTCTTACACTATATAAAATTATGGCTAAGATATCTGTATGGTTAGCCCTACTAAGTTCTATGCTTTAAGACATTATAGTGGTAAATAAGGGAACCACCTGCGGTTACACTATAAAGTCAACATTTCAGTTCCATTCAGGAACTTTCATCAGGACAATCACCAGTGTATATATACATATATATACATATATATATATATTTTTTTTTAACGCTATTCTAAGAGTAATTTAATATTAATATATATATATATTTTTTTTATATATATCTATATATATTAATAATAAAATACACTTAGAATAATGGATTGTGTATGTTTATATAAAGTATATATATATATATATATATATGTATATAAAAGAAAAAGAAAGAAAAAAGTACTTTAATTTAAAAACTATTTTACAACTTTTATTAACTCTTAAAGCTTTTGTACAGGCTTCAAGGGGACAGGCTGAGAGCTCAGGCAGTCCCCCTGAAGGCACTGCACAAGCTGGCTATTCCGGGGATGTGATCACGAGTACCCCACAATCATATGGCCCGAGGGGGCCGTATCAGCCGCAGGGGGACTGCCTGGGATGCCAGGCAAGTCCCCACATCGAGATCGCCGGCGGGGAATCGCCAGTGATCGGATAAGTGCATATGTGCCGCGGAGGTACCATGTATGCTGAGGTCGTTAACAACCGTTTTTTGTCGGACATACCTGGTACATCCGCGGTCAAGAAGGGGTTAATCAAGGTTCAGCTATGTCTTTCATTTGATTATATAAAACCTGAAAGGGAAAGTTACTCCACTAATCAATATTACAATATTTACTGGAGTGAATAGTACAATAGAGGTAAGCAAAAACACTTACATCCAAGGCACTCCTTGCACAGGGTGACATCGTCATACATGCAAGCCCATAGTTGCATGTAAATCTAATATAGAGGTGCACAATCGAAATTTCAACCCAACAGTGTGAGTGTAGATTAAAAGTCAATACGTATAAGTGACCAAATATTTCCATCTAAAAAAGGAAACAATCTGGCTACCCATGAGTGTCACAAAAAACACTGTTCTATAGTGAGTAGTATAAAATATACCTGCACAGAGATTGATATGATGATCTTAATGATATAAAATACATAAAAACAGAGAGAAATCTAGTGCAGCATTGTAGGACACAGAAATTATATATAGAACCCTGTTGAAAATAAACTCACAAATGTGGAAAGGGCCAGATTAACATAGGGGCTGATGGAGCTGCATCTCCAGGCCCAGGCCCAGGCCCAGGCCCATGGAATAGGCCCATTGATTTAAAAAATAAAAAATGTTTTTAGTCTTTTAAAATTTGTATTTTTTTACACATTACTCTTAGGGTTGCCACCTGGCCGATATTTATTTGAGGCTGCCTGGCCGGTGCTGATATTTTTCTCAGTATAAAAAGAGATTACTCTGCAATACCGGTACCGGCCTGTAGGGGTTGCTGTGTGTGTGGAGAGAGGCAGGGATAGGTAGTTACAGCATATACCTGCACTTCTTTACTCACTGATCTGCCGGGGAGCAGCTACACAGCATAGAGGTCCATACAGACAACCTACAGCTCAGGGAAGTGAGGGATGGGGTAAAGGGAAACATGGGGACACTGAGACACTAGGGAACACTGTGAGACATGGGGACACAGGGAGACCTCTGGGGACGCTGAGACACTTGGAGACATGGCGACAGAGACACAAATGGGGACACTTGAGGACATTGAGACACTAGAGGACACTGCAAGACATGAGCACACAGACACTTGGGGAAACAGACACACATGGAGACACTTGGGGACACTGAGATATTGGGAAACAGACACACATGGGGACACAGACACACTAGGGACACAATGTCCCTAGGTGTCTCAGTGTCCCCATGTCTCCCAGCCAGTGTCTGTGTCCCTGTAACGGACCGTTTCAGCACACAAGGGGTTAAAACCGTTTAGGCGCTCGTCCCCTTTTCAGAGATGCAGGCACAGCTACTGTAGAACACCAAACTCCCTAACCGCAAATAAGGTAATGCTCCAAACTCCCAAACGGCATACAATATAGCACTCCAAACTCACGAACTGGAACCATACGAATAGCTGCTAGCAGACGAATAGGAAAAGCATCCAAGCGGCTTACACTCCTAGCAATCAGTCTCTATCAGCATTCAGTAAATCCCCCCAAAGACGAGACAAGGCTCCGTGTTGAGGGTCAAGCAGTGGTCTGTTTAATGAGGGCTACCTGCCCAGTATTTATGCAGGTCTCCCACCTGGTGGACACTCCCCTAGGGGACCAAATGGGAGACTGTGACAAAAGGACAGACAAGTAGACAAATAGGACACACAGTCACATTATATTCCCACAATGCATCCTGGCTTCCTCCTCTCTGCCTTGGAGATAATTGAGAAGTAATTCAATTATCTCCCAAGACAAAGGCAAATCGCCATTATGCACGTGGGGATACTAAAACATGAATTACTATTAAAATACACAGTATGACACAAGTTACAATAAAACTATACATTTAACATGTCCCCATATAGCTCAGGTCTGAGCGCACATTATTAAGCGAATGGCGCTCAGACCACACGAATACAATTTAATCGCCATGGAGCTAAAGTCTTTACACAGTCAGTTCTCATGCGAATGGGCTCCATGGGATTCCTATCTGGGGTATAACACAGTCAAGTAAAACTGCCGAACACCAGGACGTTCGTGCACTCCCGTTGAACAAGAAGGGAGGTCGGCAGCTTCAGCGGTGTTCGCGCCAAACTGTGTCCGTTTTTAGTTCCATGAGTTAGGCATCGAACACCGCTGTGCGTTCGCGTGTTTAAAATGGCCGCGACCTCGTGTTCATTATACGAATGGCGGCCACCCAGTATTCGTCAATTAAGCTGCGGTTAACCGCAGCTTCTGGGAGGCTAATTGCCGGCACACTCCAGATCCCAGGTGGTCTAGTCATTCGTGCGGTTGTTTGGTAGATTGAATCTACCGAACACCAGGCAGAAAAGCACGAATAAGTCTTTTCTGCAGGGAAAAATATGTCTTTTAACATGGGGCCATAGTCCAAAGGCAGCAGACGAGCAACCAGGCTTCTCCAATGCAATATGGCGAGATTGCTCTCGTCACAGTCCCCATGTGCCTCAGTGTTCCCATGTTTCCCAGTGTCCCTAGTGTCTCAGCCTCCCCACATCTCCCAGTGTCCACATGTTTCCCAGTGTCTGTGCCCCCATGTCTGCCAGTGACATGGGGATACTGGGATACATGGGGACACAAACACTAGGGGACACTGGGAGACATGGGGCACTGAGACACTGTGATACATAGTCTGTGTCCTCCAGTGTCCTGAAGTGTCTCAATGCCCCCATGTCTCACAGTGTCCCCTAGTGACATGGGGACTGTAACGGACCGTTTTGCACACAAGGGGTAAAAACCGTTTAGGCGATCGGCCCCCTTTCCAGAGATACAGGCACAGCTACTGCAGAACACCAAACTCCCAAACTGGATACAAAATAGCACTCCAACTCCCGAACTGGAACCTCCCAAATAGCTGCTAGCAGACGAACAGGAAAAGCAGACAATCAGCTTACACTCCTGGCAATCAGTCTCTAACAGCATACAGTGAATCCCCCCAAGAACGAGACAAGGCTCTGTGTTGAGGGTCAAGCAGTGGTCCGAGGTGCTGGCACACCCAGCCTGGCCCCCACCACAGTCTTGCAAATGCAGGACCGCCCACAGGGAGGTACAAAATATCCAGCAACATATTAGCTACAACCCACAGATTCCCTCCCCCTTATCCTGAGAGGTAACCCAATACACATACCTTTTACCACAATGCATCCCGGCCTCCTCCCCTCCGCCCCGGAGACAAGCGAGAAGCAATCCAATTATCTCCCAGGACAGGGACAAGACTCCACCATGCACATGGTGACACAAAGACAGTAAAACACTTTAAAATACATAAAGTCACCTTTTACACATAACACACAGACATTTAACATATCCCCAGATAGCTCAGGTCTGAGTGCACATTATTAAGTGAATGGCGCTCAGACCACACGAATACAGTTTAATCGCCATGGAGCCAAAGTCTTTACAGTCAGTTTCATACGAATGGGCTCCATGGGATTCCTATCTGGGGTATAACACATTCAAACAAATCTACCGAACCCCAGGCAGAAAAGCACGAATGAAGCTTTTCTGCAGGTAAAAAATATGTCTTTTAACAGGGGGCCATAGTCCAAAGGCAGCAGGCGAGCAACCAGGCTTCTCCAATGCAATGTGGCGAGATTGGTCTCGTCACAGGGACACTGGGCGACATGGGGACACTGGGAGACCTGGGAGACAGGGAGACACTGGGAGCAATCCATCTATACAGCAGAATCAAACTGTAAGTAGTTTTTTGGTGATTTTACAGAATTTTCTCTTATGTCACGCATACATAATTAGTTATGCAAATTGGGAAGACCTGTTTTTT